GCTATCAAAAGCACCAGGGTAGACAACTCTGCCTATTAAGGAGCTGATGCTGAGTTTTCCAATACAATATTTTTCAGGCAAACCCTTGGATTTCTCAAGTCCTTACCAACCTTTGAAATTTTAAAGATTCACTGTCACCAGGCAGCCTGCCTAGCATGTTCTGAATCATCTCTTTATAGTTTCTAAAATTCCACTAAATGAGCATTCTTTCTCCTTTCTACATGCAAATTTCTATCCCTGATGCTCTTCTCATCTTGTAATATACAAAGATTTATCTTTATAAAGTACCCCGAACCACCTTGTAACATCTGCGTTGTCACACTGATTTCCTGGGTAATGATCAGATTCTTGTGGCTGAATAAAACACTTGGAATTTAGCCTTTTTCTTCCTCCCTTTTAGAATCTTGGTTATTATAGCTTCATAAAGCAATGCTGGGATGGTATTACTAGCTAATTAATGTCTATTTAGTATTAATAAACATTAATTAATGTTTATTTATTGGGCTGCAGCCATTCTCCAGCACCTACAGGTGATTTTCTCTTCCTCTCCCTCACAAGACCAGATGGCATCCTGGCCAACCTTCACCCACCCTTCACAAGCCATGCACTTGATTCAGAAAATGCAGCCAGCAGCTTGGGAAGCACATTACCATCACAGCTGGACAGATGCTAGGAAAGTGCTGGTTACTGCCCCAAATGGTGGGAAAATTAATGACTTCAATTAAAAGACATAGATTAAACCTCTACCAAGATATAGTCACCTTTTCATCTCTGTATGCTGTTGGGGTTTTTATTTTATCGAATTTTCCAGCTCTCATCATATAACAGGGTGACAAACAACTAAGAGAAATATTTGGCCAAAAACAAACACACAGCAGGCTGTGAGGTCTTCTGCATCTCGCTGCACCATTTCATCATAGGATGAAAACACTCATGTACAAAGGAAGGGTCCAATTTCCTGTATCAGTGCAGTCAGACCAGAATATTTATCTTTTTTGAAGATCAAGCACCTCTAGTCCTAGTAAATTGTCTTCCCAATTTGGGTTTTTTTATACAGTGTTCACACTAATTGATGTTCCTATTAAACTATAATCTGCCCCAGCTCGTGGTTACTGCATCAAGACACTGTTTCATGTCCTCTCCAATCCATCACAGACCAAAAAGCCATCAAATAAGGAACAAAATATGACATACTATTAGCCAACAGCTACCTGAAAATAACATGAAGTTTAGTAAATTGAAAATAAAAGCCTAATTTTTCTCTTAGAAAGACCACTGCCTCAAAATAATTATATTCACACTATGCTTTAATCAAACAAGCTTGTGATCAAAAGCAACACCTAACATCATAGTTATTTTTGGATCATGCATTCCATTCTCTGCTTTCATTTATTGAAATAATATAAGGGATCATTCAACTTTGAATTTTTAGCTACATTCCTCACTTGTCAGAAATAATTACTTCATTTTAAAGAAGTTTTACATGTGTGTGCATATATATATATATATATATATATATATATACATCTATGAATATATATATATGTGTGTGTATGTGTGTATATAGTGATGACAGATACACTCTAAGTATCCTGAAGATATTTTGTGACCAGCTCCGCTCATACCCTGTTTAGGAGAAAAAATGACCACTGAGAAAGCACTCCCAGTGAGTCAGCTATGGCACTTTCTCTCACACCTAGTCCCCTGTCATTTGCCCTAGGCTATAGGATAATGCATTTTGAGCTATGCAATATTTCTGACTAGATAAAATCATTGGATGCTGATGACTCTTAGAAGATCCACGATCTTCTAAGAGACCTCTGAGAGCTCTGTGTACAGGAGGAATTGACTGCTCTGTTCCCTGCCATGTTCTTGTTCAGTAATTTTGCTGAGATCCTTTTCTCAAGTTTTAATTGAAAAATAATTTCTGAAGGGACAAATCTGTGCAAAGAACCTGTGAGCAACTTCAGCTGCCTAAATATAATAATGCATTCTAAAGTACTAATTTTTTTTCTTTAAAGTGTCATGTTAGAGAGCTTTTTTAGATTGTTAAGTCAAACATCCAGAAGCGTGGAGATTTGGGATCTCACATCATACTGTAACCCTGTTGCACTCTAACGTTATGAAAACTTTTAATCACATTGCCACTTTCTATTTTCTTCTACTCGACTCTTGCCTCAGTGTTTAAGTCAAAACCTACTTGATATCCTCCCATATATGCGCTGCACAGCCTCAAGATTTATTTCTTCCATACTGCCAAAACTGTGCACAGAATGCAAAATGATCCATGTCCTGCTAAGCATGTCTAACAGAGTCTCCCCATAGTATCCAGGATTCTCATGACCATGAAGTTTACACTCACTGTACTCCTTTATGGTGAGGTTGCAATATTGTCTGTATTATACAGCCGGGAAAGCAGGCACAAACTTTCCATTCATTTTAGTCGTACAACCTGAGGCAACAGAAATCCTATTTCTCAGTTTCCAGCCCTCCATGCTCTTTCAAGACCTCCTTGTAGTGGCCTCCCAGTAACCAAACCTACTTCACAGTGGATATGCACAGAATGAGGAGCCTATGGCTAACCAGCCACTTGCAAAAAGTTTGTTGTAAATTCTCACCATTCAGAAATTCTGTCACAGATGCTGAAAAAAGAAGCCAGTCCCACAGAGCATCAATCTACTGCCTTAAATTTAATAATACCTCCAATGTGGTCCCCTGTCTCATTTACCATACACCTTCCACATTGGTAGCAAGTGAAGCAGTGTCTAAATATATTTCAGAGCTTGCCCACCTGTGTAATGACTTGATTAAAGTCAGAATTCTGTATGCTGGAAAGAAACAGACCCTTCCCCCATGCCCCTAGCCTGTCTCACTCATCTCTTACCTATCTGTACCCCATGGCCTCCTCCTTTTCATTATTCCCATTCTGACTCCCCAGACACCTGGCTGTTCCCTGTGCCCTGAGCAGCTCCCATCCTTTAATCCCATTCCCCAAGTTCCTGCACATGCTCCCTTTTTGCTTCTACTCCTTTGGCTCTTGCAACCTCTTTTCCTTGTTCCTTCACACACCTTCTCCTGACCATCTCCACCTGACCATGACTGATGCACCCCTTTTCTCCTTGCTGCTGGAGATCAGCTAATGAGCAGCACAATCCCACTTCTCTCAGCCCTGCAGGCAGGTCTGCAACCTGAATTAAGCCCAGAGGAGCGTAACTCCTCTGTGAGCATGTACAGAGAGAAACTTTTGAAAGCAAAGCTCTTGAATCTGAGGCGCCTCCAAAGTGCACGAACAGCCTCATCAGCAGGGTAAATTCAGGGGTAATTTTCAAGACAGCAAAAGGCATCTCCCTGGTATTATGATGACATTTTACTAAATGTCAAGCTTCCAAAATTTAATTCCAATGAGGTTCATTCCACTACCAGCACTAACACATCTCAAGAAAGAACCACTGGATTTATTTATTAGAAGGAAGGTCATGTAAAGGGACAGATTTCCCACAGATTTTGTTTCCAGAAAGAGCTGTCTTTTTTGTTAAAGTTTTTACTAAAATAAAAAGAATCAATCAGACTGAGTCTTAGCATGAAAAATTTCAGCCAAAACATTTAAAGTTTAGAGAAATTGTGAAGTAAACAATTCCTCATAGTAGGCAATGACAGGGACATGTTATTTTGAGCAATGCTACTTTGTACTTAATAAATCCACCAAATATAATTGTTACAGCTAAGCAAGCATTTCCAGTCATGCTGATGTAAACAAAATCATTCTTCTTATCAATAAGAAATTAGTCCACATGTTCTCACCATCTCTCCACACTGCCTAAAACTGTCTAAGAATCATTTTTCTCACAGCTTTGCCATCTTCAGATTTTGGGCCCTTCCATTCCAGTCTATGGAAAAATGAACCTAAATTCACCATTCTTCACTTTGCAAAGAGTATCAAGAACTGAGCCAGAATCCCTCAGCGAGAAAACCAGGCAATTTTCTCCTGACAGTGGTACCTTGATCACCCTTTCTTGCCATGACATCTCCTCCTGCCAGCAGTTTCCAGTTAGCTGGAAAGTTTCCAGTTGGTAGCCTCATGACAGCCTGCCATCCCCACTGCACCTGTCCCAGAGCAGTAGGCTCTGCCTGCCCTGTACCTTGCAGCCCTCTCCCACACACATCCTGACAGAAAAAAAAACACCTGAAAAAAGGCTCCATTGTCACTATTCCTAATTTTTCTATACTAAGTTTTAAAACCTGCTCATAGGGTTAGTGATACAGTAGAACTAGAAACACAATTATACATAATTGTTGGGGGATGGGGGAATAAGACACCAAAACACAAATAACTTTCAAAGCCAGCAACAGAGTTCTGACAGACATTTCCCATCTAACCTTTGGTAGTGATCCGCTGATGGTTTTGAAAATCTAAAGTGAAATAACCAAAAAGTTGAGAACCATTTCTAACATAGATAAGCAGAATAAGAGTTATTCTTAAATCAATCTGAATATAGTAGATAGTATTAAGGTAAAAGTTTCTTTTATGGGGAAATTATCAGAAAGAAAACCACTGTACAGCCACCCTCCATGGTTCAAGATTATATTGAAACCTTTGCCTACATCTTCGACAGCAAGCAGCACTTCTAGAGGTTACTGCTTTTATCACATTGCATCAGAGCTACCTTGAAGGTAAATGCTTTGACCTTTCACCAAACCAGTTGCCAAGAGTATTTTCTTAGCTGGAACTTCAGACAACCAAAATAAGATATTTTCTTTCAAAAACTTGGATTTATGTTTATGAAAAGGGGAGGGTGCCACGGAGAATGAAACAAAGGCAAGAACATAAAATAATGGACAAAGAGGAGGAACATAAGGAAGGAGCAAAAAAGAAATAGCAAAAAAGTATTTGTAATTTCAGCATGTCAGCACAATTCATTAAGCTTAAATGAGATATTAGGAGCTGTCTGTGGTGACAGGGACAGTGCATCATCAAGCAGAGAAATGCAGAGGGCTCTTACTGCAGCATATGTGTCTGGCTGGCGTCCTTTTGTTTGTCAGGTACCTCGTAGTGGGGAGAAATCTTTCCTAAGCCGCTGTCACTCAGCATCCTCTTCCGAACCACAGGGTTCCACCGCTCCGATATTCTAAGGAGAGAAGAAGCAACAGAAAGGCATTCACACCCCACTTGGAAGCTGTCTTTCATTGCTCATTGCTTGCCAGCATTTTTCAACCCACAGCAAGTTCAAATAGATTAATTCACTATGAGTGCTGTTCCTAAAGATGAATAGAAGCATTTCTGGTCTGTCAAGAGGATGATAACAAACAGAGACACTTCATGATAATTCTTAGACACAAAGGGCTTCAGGGCTTTACACAGTGGGATCAGAGCTCTGACCATGCAGAGAAGTTTGTAACTCAATTGTTAGAGCTTTATGGTAGGATTTAGGGTCAGGTGGTGTGAGGTGGTTAAAAGGTGCTGAAGTCCACTAGTCCTGCTGTGTGTTCCACGAAGTCTAATGGAGTAGATGTTACACTACTGTCCTCCTGTCATTACCACACCTGGATTTGTTCCTACCAAATACCTGCCCTCCCACATCTCCTAATCCTTCAGAAAAGGGGACCAGAAAGAGATGCCCATCTTTAATACAACTGCTGAAAACCAGATTCCAGCAGCACTCACCCAGTTGCCTGCTCCACTACCAGGTCAGGCATTCCTGGTGGCGTCCCCACCTGCTGAGACATTACCATCTCTGGGTCCAGAATAAAAATCTCGTCCTGCGAAATTTCCGTCACAAAGTGCAAATGTTCCTGTCAGAGTGACACAAGCAACAAATAATGAACCTGCAGCATCACTGGTCCCTCAGAGTACCCAGCTGCTCTAGAATGAGTTGAGTGCATGTCAGGTTCCCTGAAGAATATTCAAGGGACTGTGTATTTAAGTGTGTATTCATATATACACACACATTAAAATCAATGCCACAGAAGTCACCAATTTATATGTTATCGATTTCAAGCCAAACAAGATGCCTCCTGAGCAAGCTGCACACTCAGAGCAATATTTTAAAGGCTGCTACTCAATGACTATGCCATTCTGATGAAACCTGGAGGACTACACATAAAGCTGAGGTTTGCATTTTGAAATGAGGACCAACACCTGAGGTCTCTTCTTTGATGATGGTTGACAGAACTTTTCATTCTTTGGAGGCACTCTTCCAGGTCTCCACCAGTTGTACATTCTGTTTTCACATCTCCATTACCAAAGCTCTCTTTCTCAATCCTTTATTTTTGTTATTGACACTGGAGGCTTTTTGTCTTTCAATAAAAACCACTGAGTGTGAGTATGCCTGTCTATGCAGGGAAATGGGCAGAAAATCTGCCGCTGTTTATGTGCTGGAACCAACACACAGTATTTAATTTCTTCCCCACAAAATCACAGGATGAAAGAGTAAGCATTAAAAATGACCATTAGCTCAGTACCAAGGATTAGAGAAATGCAGAATAAGCCAAACAGAGTCAAATTGCCCAGTTTAATCTTCTGCACCCCTGCCTTCCTAGTGTTAGATTACAGCATCAAACCATTTATTTGACTGTGTGCAAAGAAACCCCACAGTGTCTACATGCAGACACTGAACATGGGAACTCTGAACTAAAGTCACAGCTCCTTCTGCTTGAGCTAAAGCACCAGCTGCTTTTGCTAAGAAACAGCAATGTGTTCATGTGATTCAGAAACAGCTTACACAGCTCTCAGGGGCACCAGCTACAAACAGCCACAGTGTGAAATCAACAATTTGCACTTAATGCTGGGCCACTAATTGGCCTGTTCTGGCTGCAAATCAGAAACACCAAAAGCCATGTAAAATTTTAAGTGTCTTTTTAAAAATACATTCAGATTGTCAGATCTATCCCACAGGTTTGAATCCAGCAGAGATACACATTATTTTGAGGTTCCTTGTGAATATTTTGTGCATCTCTGTTCATAATTCTCAAGTTGTAACAACATCTTAATTTCCATTGTTATTTCATGGGGCGCACATACACGCACACACAGGATAAAGACTTCTGGTGCCTAAAAGTATCAGTGAAAAGATAAAACCAAATACACTGGTGCCACACAGATGCCCCTAGTAAGACTTGATAAGGAAAACAATTGCATAAAATTCTGATCTGTACCAGACTGGTAGTAAACAGAATGGCAGATGGTCAGCAGATACAAGACTTCAGCAAAACAATGTGAATTAGATCAACTAACAAACAGCCCAGAATTTTCTTCTCTACTTCTCAAGAGACATCATGAGTAACATTTTGCAATGCACAGGAAGAATGGCAGATAATTCATTTTAAGCTGCATTTGATGCAGCTTTAAAAAAAGAAATCTATAGAAACAAAAAGCAAATAAGGATTTACCTGAGATCTGTCAATGCGGTAAAAACGATCAGCAGAAGTTGCTGCAAAACAGAGAAACAACAGCAGAAAATAGTCTGAGCAGGACTGCATGGACAAGATGGGCTAACAACACTGGCTCCTGAAATAACCCCTGTGTCAGGGAAGTCACAGTGGCTCCACAAGAACATAAGTTAATTCCTGTATGAATGGCATGTCGCGGGTCAGTACTGTGACCAACACCTTTGCCAGCAGCACGGACAGTGGGATTGAGCGTGTCCTTGGTGAGTTCCCTGCTCACACCAGCCTTGGTGGAACAGTGAACGTGCTGGAGGAAAGGGATACCAGCCAGGAGGACCTTGGCACGCTTGAGAGGTGGGCCAGTGCAAATCTCATGGAGTTCAACAAAATGCAAGTTCCTACAAAGGAGCCATGGCAGTCCCAGCACACCTACAGCTGGGTGGAGAAGAAATTGACAGCAGCCCTACAGAGAAGGACTTGGGGGTAATGGCTGGTGAAAAACTCACCATGAACCAGCTGGATGAGCTTTTAGCCCACAAAGCCAACCATGTCCCGGGCTTCAGTAAAAAGGAAAATGGCCAGCAGGTCATGGGAAAGGATTCTCTGCCTCTGCTCTTGTGAGACCCTGCCTGGAGTCATTTGTACAGTTCTGTTCCCCCAGCACAAGAAGGACCTAGAAGTGTCAGAGCAAGTCCAGAGGAGGGCTGTGAAGTTGATATGGGGACTGGAGTACCTCCCTTACAAAGACAGGCTGAGAAAGTTGGGGCTGTTCAGCCTGGAGAACAGAAGATTGCATGGAGACCTCAAAGAAACATTCCAGTATCTGAAGAGGTCTACAGGGAGGCTGAAGACAGACTCTTCGTCATGAACTCTGGTGACAGAACAAGGAGTAAGGGGTACAAACTGAAAAAAGGGGAAATTCCAGCTAGATATTAGGCAGAAATAACTGTGAGAGTGGCAAGATAGTTGAACAGATTGCCCAGGGAACTTGTGAATGCCCCAACCCTGGCAGTGTTCAAGGTCAGGCTGGGTAAGGCCTTGAGCAGTCTGGTCTAGTGAGAAGGGTCCCTGCCCATGGCGGGGGGGGTCAGGCCTAGATGATCTTTACAGTCCCTTCCAACCCTTAACAATCTACTATTCTGCAATATTCATTTCCCATTAAATGCTGAATTTAAAGATAAGGCTTAATGAAACAGTAGTCACTGAAAACATTAACTTAAAATAAATATTTTAAAAATTTATAAAATGAATTTCAGTTTTATAAGAAGAATTGATTACATTAAAATATGTAACAGAAAAAGCTGCTTTGTTCAGATGAGAGTATAGCAAGCATATACTGAATCTGACGGGTCTAATGGGATTAATTCAAATTCTGAATCTGAAGAACAATAATATGCTTAGAAGCTCTTTATAAATCAAATGCTTGGCCACAGATATTGACTCTGAATTATCAATATGTTCAAGGAAAATTTATGCTACTTATGAAAAACACATGAAAATAAGGGGATTCACTAAATAAAGCACGTATTATGAATCTTGTCATTGCCAAATAATTTATATTACTAACCCCAAAGGTATTTATCATCTACAATGTGCTTCACCAGATGTGATTTTTTTTTTTTGTATCTGCTTTGCATTTATTTGGGTGAATGAAATCAGGTTCATTCACTCTGCAGTTTTGACACAAGAGCACAGTGATGTAGCATTGCAGGTTTTGGCACTTCACTGGAATATCAAATACTAAAGACAAAAACTGAACACATTTACCCAACCAGCTTTCTCCAAAAACCAAACAGATTCTCACTATGGCTTTTATCAATGTCCCTCATGAGAGACAAGGAATGGTGATTAGAAATTGCCAAGGAGAATTTTGTTTTGTTTGGAGCATTAAAAATTTAAGCCTCTCCATGCAGAAGCTTTTGTAAAAGCAGATGCCATCCATTTCAGCTGCTAATTCCTGTGCCTGGAGCCTGATGTAAGGCCCAGATAATTCACCTGCTTTGACAAAGTCTGGATCAAATACAAGTGCAGCTCTCCAGCACAGAGTTACAAGGAAAGGGAGGTAACCTTTCTGTCACCTCAACAATGTAGTGGCTAAAAACTGCAGCTCCTGCAGAGAAACCAGGGAGAAGAACTCAGCCTTTACCAGCAGCAGTGACTTGCCACAGCTGGCTGCACTCTGAGCTAGGGCAGTGCATGCAATAAAGTCTGATCACCACAGCAGAGGCTCTGATAAACCAAGTTTCTAACCTGACTCTGGGGAACGCCTCTTTGTGGCCTGAAAAAGCTACAGCAGGTATTTTGATTGTTAGATGAAGGGCCTGTTTCAATTTTTAGAGGGAAAAGGGGGGCACTCAGCTCCTTTTTTAGCTGCTCAGTGTAACAAGAAGAAACAGTTACCCCTCTCTAGTAATACACTCAGAGCTATCCTCCAGAAGCAGGCAGCATGAAGGGAGATGCACTTACCATCTAGGAAGCACCATCTAGGAGAGAGCCTCTGAACAGAAAGTACTCTGGGGAAAGAGCTTTCCTGGTCCTGGATAGGGCATGAAAATTACGTTATTAAAAAATCCCAGCAAACTGTTTTTTCTCTGAAAAGGACTATTTGCTAGACTTTGACTTTTTCCTTTTGCTTTATTGACATTGCACAATGTGCAAAATCTGTATAACCCAGGAACCAAATGAAATTACTGGGGAGAAATTAAAATCTTCTTCCTGACCTGTACTTATCAAAGACTCAAACAGGTTATCCCATGTGTTTTTAGCCCTCACTGGAGAGACAAAAGGGATTAAAAGGGATCTAGGAGAGCAGAGGATGATCATGGCTCTGCTCCATGCTGCCAGTGAATGGTCAGCCAACTTCTTAAATCTGCTGCATATAACCTTTTAACACAAACATATTTTCACTGGGAAAAACACAGTAGCATGGATCTTTGGCACACACAGTTTGTATAGACACAGGCTCTATCCTCATTCACATCTTAAGCAGTACAATCTGCATATCCATAAATGTTGTCATTTCGTGTTGGCTCAAGATTAAATTTTACTTCTCTTTTAGACAACAGACCACAGAGAGTATATCAAGTCACACGGCAGAAAAAAAAGTAAAAACAACAGGGAGGATTTTACTTGATCCTATAAACCTTATTCTCATGTACAACTTATGGTATCCAGCCTCTGTGCATCGCAGAGATGGAGAAAATGACAGCAAAACATCCCATTAAGTGAACTATAACTGTACATGAGGATCAAATAACACTTCTCAGGGATTTAATAGAATAAGATTTAAAACACAGCTTTGTCTAATACAGGCAAACAGACTTGTGGGATTTTAGGTTTGATTGTATCGCCACTGAAGGGTTTGTCAGAAAATCAAGGATCTCTGAGACCCACTAGGCTTGCTGACATTGTTGTATCTACATGCACAAAGCTTTATGTGTCTTAATATTTAGTCCACTCTGTGTCAAATGGAGGGGACTGCGACACAAAGGAGAAAAGGAAGAAAACATCTAATGGTGTGTACTAAATGCAGTTTATAAAAAGAGGAGAAATTATTAATATTCATAGAGTACAAAATGCTGGGAAGATGAAGGTAGGAACACTGCTGGTAAATGTCAACTTGAGTCACAAATTGCACATTGTGACATACTCCCTCCAAGACTTCATTACAGTTCAACTATGGAACTAGCTTGCAAAGTTTCAGGCCCACGAGAATATTTTGTGAGCATTAAACTCATTAGAGAAACAAAACAGAATGAGAAAACACTCCAGTATATTTTTTCTCATTTGCACCTGGGTTTGCTTATGTTTCTGCTGACTGCCTATGTTTTGTACTGCAGAGGAATCACACAAGAGAATTGCATTTACGAGATTTAAAAGTACACGTGACACTTTATTAGTGAGGTATGAAGACAATTCCATCAGCTCAAGCACCCTATTCATGCCCTTTGTCCCCCTCTTCTTCCCATTTCTGTAATATGTGGAGGGATACCAACAAATATGGAACAAACCTCAAATTAACCTAATGAGACAATTTGCAGAAATGAACCACTGAGGGGAAAAAAACAAAACAAGAATACTAGACAAACAAGTGCTGAAGACAAAACACAGAGAGGTTGCATTTCAAATGTGGCATCGTAAAAAATGAATGGTATGTTAGGGATTTCACACTGCTGTGCACTAGAGAAGATGAGTAGGCAACTAATTTATATACTGCTGTAACAGCAGAGGTTAGAGCCAAGTATGGAGCTGATTTCTGACATTTCATACTCTCTTGTACATCTCCCCATATACACAGATTTCATTCTTCATTTTGCCTCGGGCAGTTTCCTACACATGGAGCAGTCAGCAGCCACTTAGGTTAATTCATAATGAGTGGAACGGAATCATACATGCTGGTTTATTAGTCAATTTGCTAGACACTAGCACTGTTCTAAAACCCAATTCCAGGGCAATGATTGATGGAAATGCCAAGAATATAAAGTTATCATTGGATAGGGAAAAAAAGAAACAAACCATCAACTGATATAAAGGAGGCAGGTCCAGGAAAACATGCCAAATTGCATTTTCTTATAGTGTCTGCAGTCATTGCATCTACAGGCATTCTCATGAAACTGGAATTCTGCATCCCCTGAGTAATCATTAACCCCAAATAAATTATCTGCAATTTCACCACAATTGGTTCCTGTAGGTTGGGCCTCTGTATTCTTTCTCAGTGAACTCATTCCTGCTGATCCAACAAGACCTGCATTGTTATTTCTAGGAAGATGCTATCAGCACCATGCAAAGTTGTCCTGTGATCCTAAGCACTATGTCAACTGACCATGGTTTGTGCCAAGTCTCCATGCTAATATCAGATCATTTCAGGAGTCAGTAGAGTTAGTCTCACTCAATTTACTTCCAATTTAAGCACTCTAAAATAAACTATTTTGCTGAGAGAAATATGCATTCTTGAATGATACTTCCAACTGAAAAGACAAGTTCTGTATTGCATAAATTGCAGAATAAAGATGTAAAACACAATGAGACCAATTTTAAGAATTTTAAGAACTATCCACCTAAACTAAAACCTATTTATTTCATGCAGAAAACACATATGTGCTTAGGATGGACTAAAAATTATCCTGAAGATTATGTAAAGTAAAGGTAGATGGCTGTCCTGTACAGAATTATTAAGAGGCTGGACCTGCTAAAACACCTTTTTCCCCCCTCAGTGATAGACTATATTACAAGACCTATGCAATACAACATGTCATTGTTCACAGAGAAACAATTTTACTTCTGTCATTTGTCCTCTAGGACACATTTTACCATTCATTTCAATATGGAAAATAGTGTTATTGCAATACCACTATCATCATTAGCTTTGCTAATTTTAAAGGTGATTCCACAAAACTTTTGTAAGAGAAAGCAGAACTAGCTTCCGATATTTAAGGGTAAATCAGATAATCAGAAATTTATCTAATGTATGGGTTCAAATGCAAAGAGTGTCATTCCCATTTTTAAGCCTCTTTCTGTTCTGATATTAAAAGGAAAGTTTATCTTACCTGGTAATGAACTCTCTGGGTAGCAGAGGTTACTGACTGTAGGTCCTAGCAGGAAAATGAAAGACATGGCAGTGATGAAAAGGACTGAAGCAACAACAAGAACTGTTTATAGTTCTACTATCTGAAGTGGTTGGGCAAATACAAATAATTTTGCAAATATTTTTCACTGGTTTTAAGCATATGAAAAAAACTCCCAGAAAAGTCAAGGAAAGCTCACTCAAAGTTTAGATTTGTATGCATTTGACCCAAAAAAAAACATATCAAAAAGAGATCACACTAATGTATCTTTATCAGGCTAAAAAATCTATTTGTCCCAAGATTTGTCTAAATTTACAGTATCAGAAAAAAAATTAATGAAAGTATGTCAAAAATCTTTAAGACACTTTTGCAAATATTTCTGAGTGATTAATGCACTAAAGAAAATCACTGACAGTTCTCTCTATTTTAAGACAACCTCCCTCCAAGAAGGTCATATCAGAATGATCTCGACATTTAACAGGGTTCAGGCATCTCATTTATTTTAATAGAGATTTTGTCAAATAGCTACAGCACATGACATAGTCTACTAAAGAGCCTGGCCTGCAGACCATTGCCCTCCAGCAGCAAACTGGCAGAGCTCAGCAAACCCTGGCATCTCTAATCCCAGCAAATTGGACTGAGCCAAATCAGGCACACATGCAAAAATTAGTACAAACCCTGCAAAAGGTTGAAGAAACAGAGCTCCTCCACAACCACTATGAGTAATTCGACCAAAATACCTAGATGTGCTTCCTTCAGGGGTTGTACCTAAAACCGCCTGAACTCAGTGTGAGATTACATTTCTAATCTGATGAGATCATCATCATCATCATTATTTCACTGTAATTTTCTGTACTGGATACTTCAAATATGCGCCACCTTACAATATGGATTTATGTCTGATAATAATAGTCACACCCCAGATCTGAATGTTTAGAAATGCATTCAATAAAGGGAATCCTGATTAAAATGCAGAGAAGTGAAAGCCTGAAGTGAGATACTGTTTCATAGTCAGACTGCAAGTGTTGAGTCCCAAAATCTATTGGAAGTCAATGGCTCCCAAAGGGATCAATGGAAGGGATGAGCTTCATAGTTCCTACATAAACTAGACCAACAATTTATAAATTCTTATAAATGTTCATATATAAATTGTTTATAAATGTAATGTCATCAGACTTGTAAATGTTATTGAAAGCTATCACTAAGAAATTAAAAAAAAATCAGAGAAAATACATTAATGAAAATCCATTAGTTTTATCACTAAAGGGGTTTACACTTAAAATTATTCGAGTAAGGAGGCATTTGGAGTTGGCATTTCCCAGAGTGTATTGTAGAATGAACTCTCATGAGGCAAGGTGTTCAAGAATAAGAGCAAAAGTTTTGTTAGCTGCATGAACACCCATTTCTGTGTCTTTGAAAATATCTAGCTGATATTTGCTGTGTTTAGTGGTGTCTCATATTACTCCATTATTACAGAATGGCATTTGCATAATTAGACCCACTCAAATGCCACAGTGTTTATCCTAGCATAACACACTTTCTAATCCATAATTTATGTAATTTCAACAAGGTACATGGAAAGTCCTAGTATTCCATTATAAATCAAGGAGAAGTAAACACACCCATCCATTTCAATTCTGTTATCATTTCAAAGGAATCAAAGGTATGATTTTTAATTTCCTGTTTAGGGAGTATTTTTCAGTCCTTTTATTACCATATCTTAATTCTAGAGTTTTGGTTTCAATGGCAGGCAAATTGCAATAATCTTGATATGTGGTTGGTGAAATTATTAGACCCCTGCACTCAGAAGAGAAACAAGTATAAAATAGGTTTGTGAATGACACCTGAATTCACAGAAGCCTCACCTCTTGCAGACGGTCAATGTACATACGACAAGTCTCCAAGTCACAATCTCCTCGTACAACTATGATTCCTAGGGGAATGGCTGCAAAAGTCAAAAACAAAGAAAAACCTCTTTAAATGAAGTCTCTCAAACTGTAACAGACAAGCAATGGTTTCCGACTTTTTTTTCATATCCTCATGAACGTTTTCTGCTATCTAAACCTTAACAGTTATGTAAAAGCAGGAGTATATTATTCATCATCTGTTTCACCCATTTATAATTATCAAATATTTCATCTTCAACCACCTTTCATGGTTTCATGAAATAAGCTAAAACATATTCAGTTAAATTGAGTACTTAATTTTCAGATCTGAACATCAAATATTATCCATAAAACAAAGGAACATACCCCAGAACAAGAGTTATGAGAGGCACCCTTGTATCTTGAAATAAGAGTGATATTTCATTCTCAGAACTCAAAGTCTACAGGTTTAAAACTATGGAAATCACAGCCTGATTTCAGGGAAAACTATCCAACACCAGGTTATTTTTACCTAAGGCTGCTTTTAAATCAAAACAGATATTATTCCATCTACACACAGAATCGACACATTTCCATATTTAATCAGACAGAAAAAAAAAAGATAACTTGCAAAAATAGAGCAAAATTTTTCAAGTTAGGGCACAATTTTTAATAACAGGAGATTGAGGTTTCCACATTCATTCTATTCTTGCCACCAAAAAGAGTCCAAAACAAAATCACAAAAAGAACAATAAATAATAAAATATAGAATAAAAGAGAAAAAAGTGAGCCACAAGAAAGGTACCAAGAGAGCTACCTACTAAGATCTCATTAAATAAAAAGAAAACAAGTAAAAACTCTTGAGTACCTGATTTTGTGAAAGTGAATCACTGAATTAAGTTAATTTTTTCTCCCTGAGGTGTCTTTAATCAAATAATGGCCAAAAGATTTATGGGAGCAGCGGGAAAGATATATAAATCCTCACATGAAATATTCCAGAAGCAGAACAGAATATCAACTCATAAACAATTTTGATAACTGGATAATGAGAAGCAACATAAAATCACCAAGGTTTCTGAGATAAACGGAAAACACAACTGTGCTGCAACCCTTCCTGCTGTTGAAAAGAAGTTGACTAAGTGGGAGAGATGCATTAAAATACTTACAAGTTCTTCATTCTGATAAGAGAACAAGACAGTGCTAAAAGATATTGGGGAAGAGAGCTCCTATTTTTCTGGTCCACCAAAGCCTGAAGCACAAAGAGGAGCTCAGTGGTTTGCAGGGAGAAGAGCTGGGGAGCACCTACTGCAGTCAAGGTCACTGTGGACCTCAGAGGCCAGCACAGGGCTCAGCAATGCTGCAGGAATTGTGTTTGGAAAGCAAATTAAACAGCAGAAGAGCTACGGAGCCAGGAAAACAGGAGGCAGGGAAAAAATGTTGGAGTGAGAACAAGAATATAAAGAAGGAATAGGCAGGAAGGACAAGGTCACACATCTCCTGAAACAACACTGACATCCAATAGTGATGACAGTCCCCCTGCACGTTTTCAGAAGGGCCAGGTGGAAACAGTGGATGGAGACCTCTGAGATTCTTTCGCCACAGAACAGAGACTGAGACAAAAGCAGGTGGAAGGAGGGTCAGGAATAGCTTCAAACACTCCAGTGCTCTGGGTTACAGACTGATTCTCTTTGCTTAGTGTTTATTATTGGTTAACCTGTTTTGGCAGGAGCCCCTTAAGCTCTTTGCAGAGACTTCTTAATGGCTATCTAGATTCAATTGAACAGATCCCTTTGCAGCCCTAACTGAAAGAAGCGTTTGTTAAATTCATTTATAGCACTAAAAACTGAATTGTAGCAGACATGGCTACACCTCCAACATCTACAGAGCACTAGAGAGTTACAGCACAGGCTCACAGACTGTCACCTTCTTCTCTCTTCTATACACTTAATGGGGACTAAAGCTTTGACCTGACAAAACAACACAGATAACAGAATTGAAATCCTTAACTATCACCATTCCTGACAAACCAAAAGAGAAGGACCTTAAACATCTGTAATTCTAAAGAAATCCACCAAAATATCTAAAAAGAAAAAACTAGCATACAATAGATATCTTAATGGTGATACTTTGTGAGCCTCATCTAATGATTGAAGAAGTAGTGATTCACAGTGTTAATTAAATTATAATTAAATTATGTGATACTGATTCTTAGTGGTCAAAAAACAGTTCTGAAACTCTGCGCTGTGCAACTTTGTCCTTAAAAAGAAAAGTGCTGTACTAACTGTTTGGAAATCATGAATTAGCATGATCTATGGCTTTTGGGGTCAATAGCTAGCTAAGGTGTAATGTGTGAGGTTCCATTCCATATGGTCCCTGGCCTTTGGAAAGCTTTTAAAGTCATTACTGGATAACACTACAACATATGCTAAAATGTTTCTTCCCAATTGTTGTTGTTGTTGTTGCTTGCTTGGTTCCTTTTGCAAAACCCATTTGGCTTTCAGCAGGGAAAATGTTCACAGCCCTGATTTTTATCATAAACCACAACAAGCAATCAAAATGCACCACACAGTCAAGACTTACAAAGTGCTTCACAATAGTTGATGTTCTAAAACAAAAGCAAATGCTTAGTGATTGATAATGGAGTAGAAACTCTGGGGTTGCTGCTCATTTTAGTGCAATACCATGCAATAAAGGCAAAATTAGTTAATTTATGATAAATCAATTAAAGGCCAAGTCAACATGCATAGCAGACAGTAACCTTGTGGACGCTTTCATCCAGGACTAAAGGAGCCTCCACATTTGCTGTGTGGATGAGGATGTGGATAGAACTGTGCTGTGGCACACAGGGATTACTGGATATGCCAGGAGAGAGGTGGCAGTGCAAACACATTAAGAGCATGGTCACTACAAAACAACTTTCCATGTACCCACACAGTGTCCACTCCTGTGAATATAAGGATAAACACACACATGTACTATGCCAAAAATAAGGGATAGTCTCAGACCGTGAGCCAAGCCACAGCACTCAAATGCCAGATATTTTTCTCCTGAGACGCCTGCTTTTCTGGCCACTTGCATTCATCGCCCAGTTCCTCTGTGCTCCCTGGATGATGAAAAAGGATTTTGTCCAGGCAGTTGTGATGAGCAGCAGTGCAAGAACACCAGGAAATGAGATAGGCACAGTTGCTTCATAATCTGAACCAGTACTGCAGAAATATTTTTGTTCCTAGCAACACTAACCAAAACCAAGGATCAGCAGGAGGAAGGTTAGGCAGATGCAGCAATATGGCCAGCCTGGTGTTCTAATTAACTGCAAAATTAGGAGTGATTTTCTAAGTCCTAATTAAATTAGCTATGGAATTTATAAGCAACAAACAAATCTTCCACCTATTAAGTCCCATTATGCTGAATACCTAGGCTAGTGAACTCTTTAATGGTACTGAGGACACAAATGAAGGAAGCCCAAGCATACATATATATATTATAAAAGTCAATTAAATTTCCTGTTTATTGTTATGAAATGTTTCAATTTGTGATCTTAATACCATGATTAACCCACTCAAATCCCAAACAAAACAGCCTTGAGAGAGAACATTACAGTAGATGTGAATGCCAGGAAAACTCATTTTGATTCTGACATACCTCGGGGGACTGGGGAGATTACACATTGGACTGTAAATGTTTAATGTAACAAATAAAGGACCCTCACCACTGAATATGTCATAAGAAAGCCATTTTCCTGAAGGGCTTCCACTGATATTAAGAATATGAAGGACCAAGCAAATACACGATAGAGAATTATAAAATATTCAGGCATTTATGTTAAGAGGTATGGCTTCGTTCACCAGTATGGTTTTAATAAAACTGAGTTTGTACAAAAGGATTTTTTTTACCACACAAATCTAAGCTATGTGTCTCTTCAGATCCCTTTTCTTATTATACTGAGAAAACTCAGTTCTCCCTAGGTTCATTGGCTACTAGGTTTTTTAGCTCACTTGCAAAATCCTCACATATAAGGAGGCAAAACACTGGAGGTTATCAGATTAAACCACACCATCAAATCCCTCCAATCTCTCAGTGATTTTTCCAATATCCTGCCAAAAGGGAAGAAGCTGCCCAAGTAAAAGGAAGAGAGAAACTGTGCCAAACACCACACAAAAAAGCAACAGATTATTAAAAAAAATTTTGAAGAGCTGGGAATTGAAGCTGGCTTGTGATGGATATTGGGACTAAGAGCTGACAGCAGAGATCTGGATAAACAATGAATAATGTATTTAGGATAAAGAGAGAGAGCAGGAATCTGCACTGTGAGGTCTGCAGAGAGAGACTAAGGCAGGAAGGATGTGTGTGGGATGAGTTATCCAAAGGGGACAGCCAGGACTTAAAAAGTAAGAGGAAATCAAATCAGAAAAGCACTGAGGAAACATGCAAGTAGAATATGGACAGAAGAACCTCACAGAAAAACCTACACAAGAAAGGCCAATTGCAGTGTGATTTCCTGGAAAGTTTAAAAAGGAACTTAATAGTCTTCCTTCTCCCCACTTCTCTAAGGTAAATAATTTTTTTTCATAAATTTATACATTTTATATAAATATAAATTTTATAAATATAAATGCCCATCTCTTCTAGTTTAAAGAAGATGACAAATTTAACACATGACAATTTCCCACTAGCTCAAAAGGCAGAGGACTGCACTGAATATGCCCTGTGAGGTGTCAAGAGTGAGGTGTCAAGACAAGGTAGATTTAGAATAGATATTAGGAAGAAATTCTCTACAATGAGAGTGGCAAGACACTGGAATGGGTAGCCCAGATAAGTGGTAGATGTCTCCATCCCTGGGAGAGTTCAAGGTCAGGGACTTTGAGCAGCCTGCTCTAGCAGAAGAGGTCCCTGCCCAGGACAGAGGGTTGGAATTCGATGATTTTTAAAAGTCCCTTCCCACTCAAATCATTCTATGATTCTACAACCTCATTATATGAAATATCAATGCCTTGGGTTTACTCCTTCCCCAACCTCAGACAATAACAATTTCCAATATTTAACTCACTACTGACTTTTAATCCTCTTGCTTTCACTTAAAAGCTGGGAGGCTTTAAGCAATCCATTCAATCTCTCTCAGTTTCAGGTCTTAAAAAATCATCATGATGAAGAAATGCCTAAATTACCTTATGTGTACACAACACATATTGACAAAACAAAGTTGTTAGAGCAAGGCACTGGCTTGTAAGCAGAGTGAAGAAAAATGTTGTCATTAATGGAGCTTCTACGATGTGCCCAAAGAAATCTCCTGACAAATACATGACCATTGGTGCATCCTTTACAAGACAAAAGAGAAGGTTTGTAGCTGCACAGCCTGCCTCGTCTAAATCCATCCAGCTCAAAATTGCTTCCCAATATAAGCACATTTCCTTTGTGGCTTATCAGGAAGTCTGCTCCCTGCTGACTTTTATATTACGTATTCAGGATATAAGTACCAAGTCCTAAGTGTTGGCCCTTTCTTACTTAGCTAGTTGCTCAAAATCACATGATCTAGTCTCCAAATTAGCTTCACCTGTGACATACCTAAGTGTTAAAGAGTCGTAATGCCTTTGCTAGACCAAGGTTTCTAAGTGCATTTCTGGTATAAGGAAGCTACAGTATCACTGTACATGTACACATCACAATGACTCACAAGCTTGTCACTCTGTGCACCCCCATGTATCTGATAAGAACTCCTAGGATGACCCCAAAACCCTCAGGTAACCCACAGATACTAGAGGCACACACATTATAGACCTTTAGCTACAGATAATCAAAGAGACTAGAATTCAAGGTTAAGATCCCATCCTGTTAAAGCATCATGCACACACACAGAGCAAGGAGGCTGCACAGAAAAGGATTGTTAGTTAACAGGCAGTCCAATCATTAAGCATATGGGACTAAATTTTCTCTTAAAATTTCTTTTGAATCTAGTATGCTATTTTTTTCTAGAGGACATAAGGAGCAGCTGCCTCTGTGTAAAAGGAAGTATGGGACACCCAGAGCTGATACAGGGCTGGGAGTTATTTCTGATACTGTCATCACTGCAACTGGTTATGATTCATCCTTAATCTTAGCAGCACTGAGGAAGCTAAGATTATTCTCCATGGCTAGGGCACACACAAGTTAAGGGCAGTAAGGGCTGACATACCCTATTAAAATAACTCGCCATAAGCAGCAACTGTTCAGTTGCTGCTTGTGGCGAGTTATTTCACTGATATGATTTTATGGTGTAAATCTGGAATGGTGTTGCTAGGAGCAACTAGGAAGCACTGAAGATCACTAGGTCACTAGCTAGCTTATGTTTGATTTGTTTGTTGCTTTTTTTTTAAACATAATTAGTTTCTGCATATGCCTCCCTTGTCAGGAAATTCTTAGTTATATTGGAAAGGAGAAAATAGGGTGTCACACAGGAAGATTTTGTTGTCTTAAAAACAACTCAATCGTTCACCCACAGTGCTGCTTTGACTCTCACTTTCCCACTATAACAGGAAGCCAGAGAGTGCACACAAGACAAGCAAGCAGCAGAGGCGGAAATAAATTCTGTCCACCTAGAAACATCAGTCCACCTCACTTCTTGAGTAAGATAATCTTAGTTGTGCTCATTGTAATGACCATAACTCTCATATTGGCCAGAGATGGTGAAGCTTGTGACTAAAGTGACAACTGCTTAGGACATGAATTAGGGGGTGTTGGAAAAGACAACTACATTTGCAGTGAAGAATATTACAACATAACTAAAATGTCAACATATATCCCTTTCTTAAAATGCTGCATTGAAGCATTCATCCCTCCTCACTGAAGGATCAATAAGCACCCTCTGTACCATCATTAATCATCCCCCACACAATACTGAAATCCTGACAGAAGAAAAGAAGGAGCAAGGGGAGGGAAGAAAGGGACAATTCAGAAACAGCATCTTGGTTAAATGCCAGCTGCATTGAAAAGAAAAGTAGAAAACAACAGAAGGAGAATGACCTAAGGACAGTCATGCCCTTCAAAGGACAAAATGACATTCTTTAATTGTTCTGGAGGCTCTCAAAATGAGGTGTCTACCTCCAGCAGAGTGACAATTAATCTTCATGGAACAGTTTGTATGATGAACTCCTCTATGTCAGGAAGGCAATCTTGGGTGAAATAGTTGATAGATTCAAATCAGTGTTTCAAGGAAAGAAGGGGAATTACTGTATTTACTGTGAGTTAAAATGATCCAGATTATGACGGAGAGGTCAGAGCTTTCAAAACTGTATTATGGAGACATGTAACAGGCAAAATCCATAACAGGCCTTTGCTATTTTTCCTTCAGGGGTCACTCCTTATTAGCTGGCTTCCTTTTCCTGTTCAGATTGCTGTGAGATTCTGCTTTGCTCTTAAATTATTTAGTGGGGGTCAAACTGTCCTTGTGGATGGAGAATGGATATTAAGTATACCATTCTGGATTCAGTTGTAGGTATTTTGCCAAAACCTGAACAAGTACATAAACTTGTTTCCTGCCAGCATGTGGTGAGACATCCACACACACATGAGCTACAGTACTGTTGAAGGAAACCAGCACCTCTTCAGTAGAAACTCCCCAGTAGAAAAGGAATTTGAAGTTATATAACCAGAGAAGCAGGCTTATGACCACCAGTGTATAGTGCAAGTTACATGCCCTCTCACAGGACATTCCTACTGGGAAGGCTCAGGTGAAGTATCTTTTCTGGTCTCTTTTAGGATAATGGCGATATCTGCTTTCTCATATTCTTACAGTAGGTAACAACATTCATGCACAAGTACTACTGAGACAGTTAAAAGAGGACTTTTAGGAAAAACAACTCAATGAAAAATATCTGAGGAAAGCAGTCCAGCCCAAGTATTATCATGCATGAACTTCAAAGACAAAAAGGGTTTTATTACAAATGACCCACCAAAAGCAATTATTTTAACTCTTGATGGACAAACATCTGTTTTTTGAATGATAAGCTCTTAAGCACACTCCTAATAAGTGATCAAATCCATATGAAAGCTAAAACTAAAATGTAAGATCAGTTGCTGGCATTTTCTTATAATGTTACCATTATGAATTTTGGCAGGTGACAAATAACATAAATACACAATTACCACTTCAGTGACAATTGTGTAAGTTGAATATTTTGTGTCAGAACATGTAATGGCTCCTAAGAACAAAATACATGCTAACTACAGACACAGAAAATTTTCATCCATACTTGGGATGGATGAGTATAGCTCTCCTCAGATGGGAAACCCTCAAATGAACTAAGTTGTTTCTGACAGTGTTGGGGAGTTGTGTGTTCAGTGTGGCCTGAAATCTACTCAAGTCAAACTCTCAATTGAAACTTGAAGTTCTCCTCCAGTGAGGAATAATCCTGATCCTGTTAAAATTCTTCTCAGTCCAGTGGAGAAGGCTTTGATTGCTTTACATATGACCAAAATCCACTACCTTCAGTTAAGGCTGCCAAGACCTATATTAAAATTTAAGCCATTTCAATTTTTTTGCTCTAAGGAGAGATAGTAGCTTGAGGAGGCATAGGACTAGAAGAGTGAAATCGAAACAGTTTAACTATCTTCCAACAATAAGATAAGCAAACCAATTAAAAAGATTGTCATCCTGTAATTACCAAAGCACTCTGTATTGCAGAGGGAACTGAAGCTCTGTTGCACAACAAACACTCATGCTTGTAATTTAATATGAATAATGAGCCAGATGCATAACAAGACTATTAAATTGTTATCACAAGCAGCCCTGTCCCTCATTGATTAATGACTCTGTGTGTCACTAAGGAAAGGAATTCCATTTTTAAGTTCAGATTGTCATCATCAATGTTGCCAAAGCAACCACTGTCTGCTTTTGACTTACCCTTAAACACAGCAATTAAACCATTACATGAGGAAACAAAACAGTGATTATTCTCTGAAATGGCAAACTGAAGGCTGGTAAAGAATAAGAGGGTAAGCAACCCAGATTTGTTCCCCAAGATAAATGTACCTGTGCAAGAACCATGTTCCAGGTCAGTGCACATACTCAATATCAAATATATCATCGTCTCCAACTCAGTTTGAAATCTGATGCTAATCTAAAATCTGGTAGTTTCATATACCAGAAATCCAGTAGAACCAACAGGAAAGACATGAATAAAAAATACTCAGTGTGAAAACACTTATTTTACAGTAAATATCATCAGAGGGCAGAAACATAGTTAAATAAGAATGCAGGTGGAATCTCTATACATTATCTTTATGGAGGATATTTATATAGAGAGAACACATTTGTACATATGCACATATATAGATGAGCACACTCTCTACATTACTCATCCAAAAATGTGTACTTGATTGTGTTTGGGGGTTTTTGTTGTTATTTTTGGGGTAGGGGTTGTTTTGGTCAATGTAAGATTTATACAGAATGTTCTACCAAAAGCAGCTACAATCTGGCTTCTTCCAACTTACAAGCTTCCCGGAGCTTTTCCTTGTCGTAATGCAGCCCCTCGTATTCTTGTAAATTAATCCTGTTCACTCGGATCCTCAGGCGATCTGGGATGGAATGAGGGCTGCAAGAAAAGAAAAAAGCTTTTTAGACAAAGTGCTCCCTGGAAGAGCAAAGGAAAACAGGATATGAAGGGATTTCAATCTTCCCTGAAAGAAGAAAATGAACAAGCCTCTTCAAAAGTGAGCCAAGTCCCCACAGGCCTATTCCTGCATTTAAAATCATGACTTTCTACTGCACAACAGCATAGACATTACACCTTAAATAATAAGCAAGATCAAGAATCCCATTTGCTGTTTGTGTGACCCAAAACTGCTAAGTTTTTTCTGAATTCTTACACCCCTATGTAGCTACCCCACCCTTCCCCACTTGGACTCTGTGTAGACTCCCAGAGCCCTACCACAGCCAGTAGATAGATCTGCCAACCTGAATTTCAAGAGATGGAAAGATGCTTCTTTGGAAGTATCACATGACAACCTCTGCTCATGAGAGCATGTACACCACATTACCGAAGGATCCCAATTCAGCATCTCAGGTCTGAGAAACAGTCAACAAAAATGTGGCTAAGAACCAGATTTTGATAGTTGTGAGTCTAATACTCAGAACCCAGGAGGACTTTTAAAAGCAAGTAACAGTATGGCAGCCTCACTTTTACAGATTTTAGTCTGATTTAGATACCTCAACTATTGATAATTTTGAAAGACTCAGTAGGTCAGTATGTAGAAATTTAGTGTTCATATATTTAATATGAAATATCCACATAAATATGGATAGAAATTTGTCCAGAAAAGCTTTCTTTTTCATTTCACACTAGTTTATACTTTCACATAACCTATTATTTATTTTTTTTAGTTTAGCTAGATTGTATGCAAATTAATTTAGCCACACTTGCATCTTCCACTTTTAAAGAAGAGAGACAATCTGTGTATAATAATGCACATAGCAAATGTCTGTCCTATAGGAACTCAGGCCCAGGTCAGTTAAAAGTAGATTACTCATTTTGTGCTTTTACCAAAAGACTGTCTATATTTTCTGTTTTAATCTTGTTACTACTAGGACTCTGCCTACAGTAATATTGATTAATTATATATATATATATATATATATAGAGAGAGAGAGAGAGAGAGAGAGAGAGAGAGAGAGAGAGAGAGAGAGAGAGATAGATAGAGAGACAGAGAGAGAGACAGAGAGAGAGACAGAGAGAGAGACAGAGAGAGAGACAGAGAGAGAGACAGAGAGAGAGACAGAGAGAGAGACAGAGAGAGAGACAGAGAGAGAGACAGAGAGAGAGACAGAGTACACATTGCCTTTTCAAAGTCATAATGCTGTGTACTATCATAAATAAACAGCTTTGCTTCTTTATTTTGTCTCAGTTTTAAACTATTTGATTCATAGCATTTGCACTGCTAGTGAAGAACAAGGCACATCTCACAAATGTTACCTCATTTTTAAACACTGGTACAAATGTGAATTTTCTTCACTAAAGTCATCAATTAATCAGTGGTAGACTTATGTCCTATCACAATGGACCTCATTTCAAATTCATTATCACAATGAATAATCTGGGTATCTCATGAAAGCAGGAGAGGAAAGACAGGAAAACAGGATGACCTCACACCAACATCTGCCAAACCTTGGCTGATTGCCTCCCTTCCAACCTACCTGTGAGAACAGGATGGTGTTTGGACACCAAGGGGAGAGAAAGACAACACTGACTTCTGTAGATTTGCTGACTCACTACCTAATGCCATGTAAGGAAGAAAACAAATGTTATTTCTTAGCTTGAAGCCGACGGTAATCTACTGCATGTGCAGTATCACCTTCTGAGTCAAATTAATCCTTTCACCTGAAAAGAAGTGAAAAAGTTCCTTTTTTTTTCTTTGCAGAGCTGGAGGAAGAAAAATATCTAAAATTAAGAGCAAATCTAGAATATATTTTTTCTTCCAAGAACCACAAACCCACTCTCCAAAATTCTCTTTTAATTAGAAAATGTTTAGGAGGACACTTCCCATGCTTTTGAAAAATGTAATTTTTGATATATAGGTGCACTGTATATCTCTGACTTTGCTTCTGCAGGAGCAACAAGCACACCATCTCAAGTGTGATGTATTTTCTGAGGAGCAATAGGAGCAGGTCCAGTGTAGGAAGGCAATCAACAGGCAAGTACCAGACCTTGGTATTCTGTTCTGCCCTCCTCTCACACCATTTTAATAAAGACAGGCTAAAACCATTACATAAACAGGTTGTGTACTAAAACGTACAACTGGAGAGAAACAGAACTTGGCCTCTTGTCCATTTGAAAAGTTTAGCTATCTTAGTGAAAAAAATGTAACCTGGAAACAGTAACTTTCTATAGAAAATAAACTATTACCAGAAATAACAATGCCAGGAGTCCCTTTCTAGAGGGTAGAGATTTATACACTTAGCCAGGTCCAGTCACAAGTAGCATTTTCATAACACAAGTAAACAAATCTACACACTCCTAAAACCATGTGTGTATTGACACATACACAAAAGAGACATTTATTCAGCAACTGAAGCTTGATGGTTTTGTTCATCAGTTCTTTGCAAACACCCTTTGTTCTCTTATAATAGTCATTGGCTGACACATCGTGTCATTAAATTTTATTACCTATTCAAAATAAATTTGATTCTAAACCTAACTATTTGAATATTCATTTCTTATGCTATCAGACTAGCAATTGACACCAGGGTATATTGTCTTCGTCAGTCCAACTAATTAACTCATTCATTCACAAAATTATTTAATGCAGCTGAGCAGAATACTTCCACTATTATTTAGTGGAATGTATAATAATACTTCCATATTATTATACAAATAGATCAATTTGTCTTTGTTAAGACATACTCAGTATATCCAGAAACCAGAAAGATTAAATACATAAACATGTCCATGTAAAAGCAAATAACAGGGTGATGAATGTCACTGAACACAAACATTAGTACAGTATTAATAGAAATAGATGTCTCTGAATACTGCGTAAAACAACTTCCTTAACAGCAAGGAGAGGAAGAAAAGCTTTCCACATAAAGCAGAAATTTATACATAAATTTGGGGAGATTGCTGCACTTTAATTCAACCTAAATTACTTACCTTTTAACAATTATCTTTTAAATGGTGTATTACATAGTCAACAAAAAGTATTTGAACATACAGATGAATGAACTCCATTACCTCCCTAAAGAATCTAATTAAGAACTCATTCCACAAACACATCAATCCACAGAATTAAATCCTAAATGTCATTTGCTTCATGAGGATGCAAATAAAGATTGATGTCAAATAAAACATTCTGTTTGTTCATGTTTATTATTTGTAATGATTTCATTTAAGCGCAAACCTAAACATGAATCTTCTCCAAGATCTTTCATCTAGAAAACATACTTGGCTATTGATGAAGTTGTGACTTCCTCCTCTCACCCCTATTAATCGTCCAGCAACAGGTGAGAGGATGGCAGACAGCTCACTTGGAGCACAGCTGTTTTTCCTAGGACACGTGCTCCTGCCCCCAGTCACCCAGGGAAGAGCACAGGCAGAGCAAGCTTGGGTCCTGCCCAAGCCTGGCACTCCTGCACAGCAAACAGTTACCCTTGTGCCATGCCACCAGCTTGATTCAGCTGGGGAGACAGACTTGTAAAATTATAAATACCCCAATTCCTATTTCAATTATTTATGAACCCAGTGAACTATTTCTTACACTTCATGTCTCCACAGAGAAAGGAGTAATAAGAATAAACAGTCCAACAACTCTACAGAATCCAGTGACGAATTTCTGATAGATCTTCAAGAATACAGCCTTACATCATCCTACACACAGAGAAAGGAGTAATAAGAATAAACAGTCCAACAACTCTACAGAATCCAGTGACGAATTTCTGATAGATCTTCAAGAATACAGCCTTACATCATCCTACACACAGATTTTAACATGATTCAGTAAACAAAAAAGGAAGCCTAGTTCCCCCATACAAAACATACTTGAGTAAAAAAAAAAAAATCAGTCTTTCAGGGGATGTTTGCAGTGACAATGAATGATTAATGAATTACCTGTCTCCTAGAGAAGAAATAAACATGAAAAATTAATTAAGTGTTCTGGCATTTAGAACAATTGGAAAGAGGAAAGCTGTAGCAAAAAGAGAAAAATGAATTCACCTTACTTTCAAGATCACATTGACAGAGCTTGAAAAATGTTACATTAAAAATAAGTTTCTGACAGCATCTATCTACTTGAAACATAAGAACTGCCACAACAGAGCAGATTCATCCAGTCTTTCTGTGGACAAATTTCAATGCTTCACAAGTGTTCCCTACTATTTTAAGGTGAAGCTCTTGCTAAGCTCTTTACCTAAAAAAAACCAACCAAACAAAACAACCCCTTGAAATTATAAGCTCTTCCATATATTTTTTTCCTTTCCTTTGGGAATCTGAGCTAGATGAGCAGCCATGTCATAGAGTGCTGGACCAAAGGACAGTCCCCTTAGTTAGAAGAATCATTAGAAATAAAAGATAAACCTCATAGATGGGATAAGAATTTCATGATAGAACAAAATAGTATAATAATAATAGTAATAATAATAAGTGGGGAGTAGAGAGAGTTACAAACACAAGAGAAAAAACTGATGTACAATACAACTGCTCACCATGCAGCATATCCCCAAACAGCAGTCAGACACCTCCCAGGTAACTCCTCCAGTTTACATACTGGGCATGACCTTCTCTGGTGTGAAACATCCCCTTGGCCAGTTTGTGTTCAGCTTACCTGACCCCACTCTCTCCCATCATTGAGTGCAGCTCCTCAGCAGCAGAGTGTGACACTGCAAATAGTGTTTACTTGAGATAAACACTACTTAGCAACAGCCGAAACATTATTCTTGCCATAAATCAAAAAAAAAAAAAAAAAAAAAAAAAAGAATAGAGGGGCAGCATCACCTCCCTGGACCTGCTGGCTACGCTGCTTCAGGTGCAGCCCAAGATATGGTTGGCTTTCTGGGCTGCCAGAGAACACAGGACAGCTTCACCTTCAGAAACCCACAAGTTAAACAGGAAAAACTGATGAAGAAATTAGGAGACTCAATTCCCTATAAATCATGTTTCAGAAAAATAGGAGAAGATATCTCTAAGCATTTTCACCCTTCACTCTGCATTTGGAGAACAGTTCACTTTCTACCACTTTCTCCCTTACACCTTGCTTACTTTATTTCTAATAAAGAACACCTTACTGTTCTTTATTGGACTCTCCTCTTAGAGACAGTAACCATATTCAGCCTGAGAAAATTGATTTTGTTTGGCATTCGAACCTCTGAAAGCAAAAATATTTTCTATTACCGTCTTTTTACTCACAGAGGTTTTATACACATACTCTGCTGCAATCATTACCACAAACTCCATAGATGAGTAGTATTTACCAATGCAGTGATATCTGTATTTTCGTTTCTGCAGATTTTGTAATTGAAAAAATAATTACAGCCTACCCATAGTGTTTATTGCACTTGTAGAAGAGCTGTAGGATAGACACAAGTAAATATCTTCTTTTTCAATGGTAATTTTCAGCATTCCTTTGCATCAACAACACAAGACAAATGTACTCTCACATATGCATCTTCTCATCTCTGAACATTCAGCAGGAAAGTGCAAGTTTTCACCTTCCTTTTAAAAGACCCTCAAAAATACAACACTTGTATCTACTTACACGCCTTGTATAAGCATTTGCAATGGATCACACTACAGTTCTACTGTCTCTTCCAAATAAGAGCATATGAGCCTTATAAATTGGTTGCCCCAAATTCCTATGCATCTCCTGCTGCAGAAATCCTGACATTTATCTAAGACGGGTTATAATCCATCACCAGGTCTCAGTAGGATCTGCCCTGCTGTTCAGTACTACCTGGAACTCAGACTGCTTCTATTTTGTTCAACAAGAAAAAAACAAAGCAATATTTGAATCTCAAAGCCATCATAATCCAAATCAAATTTCCCTGTTACCTCATGGGTCCTTATTTTAATTTGCCAGACACATTAACTGACAGCCCCAGTGCAGCAGCATGTTTAATCTATTTTTACGGATTTTAAGATACAGAACAACTTTGACTTTCAAATTAGTTTGGGGCTTGCAAGTCTTTCTCTCCCTGCTTTATTCTGACAGCTGATATCAAATGGTACATTAAAATGAACTGCATCAAAACTTGGAGGTCATTTTCCAAGGGATATCCCTGAGCTTGGAAATAGTACTTGTTCTCTTAGACACACAGCTCAATGTTCTCTGTAAGAAATAAGGGTTACCTCAACTTTTTTCTTGAGGCTGATTTAGATGCTGAATTGGTGAGGAAAGTTGATTTCATTACTTTATGCTTGTCAGCAGAATACAGCAAAATGGACCCACAGAAAAGGCACACCAAACTGGACATCTTTTTCCAAAATAACAATGAAGTACTTGCAGGTTTCTGAAATTTCACAGAATCACAGAATGGTTGAAGCTGGAAGACACCTCTGGAGGTCATCTGGTACAAACCCCTGCTCAAGCAGGAGTACCTAAAGCAGGCTGTCCAGGACCATGTCCAGGCAGGGTTTGATTGTGACTAAGGATGAAGATTCCAGAATCTCTCTTGGCAATCCGTGCTAGTGCTCTGTCAACCCAAAAAGCATTTTTTCCTCATGTTCAGAGGAAACCTCCTGTGTTGGATTGAAAAGATCTCATCTCAATTCTTTCCAAGAATGGTGTCTGGCATTAAACTTCAGATGTGCCTGATGCCATGGATGTCTGGGGAGCTGGCTTATGGCTGAACCTGGTCACCATCACCAGTCATGTCCTGCTCACCTTACTTGGCTACTGTGGAACTGTGCCCTTCCTGGCAACGGTGCCCATCAGTCATGCTGTCATCTCAGCTCCCTCTTCCCATTTGTCACTGGATTTTACTGCCCCATCTCTCAGGTGGATGACACAGGGTAATAACAAAAGGCTGGGGAACTTACAGAGAAGAAAAAAGCCAGATACTCACACAGTGAAGGAATCGGGGGGAGCCGAGACTCTCCTCAGGTCAGCAGACTGCACTTTATGGATACTACAAGGCAGCAGGAAATGAGTGGCCAGGAGAAAAACAGCACACAGTGAGGACAGACAAGAAACAAAGGTGAGAGAGACAGAGAAAGAGTGGAAGAGAAGAAAAAGAGAAAGACACACGACATTTAAACAGAAACAAAAGGAATGTGTCACATAAAAGTTGAATGAAGGGACATGCAGAGCTCTGAGCTCACATTAGGAAGCCAAGAGCAACTGAAGACATGCAAATGGGGAAAATCACTGCTATGTGGCACACAGGAGCTTTCTAAGGACACAAGTGAGCACTAGTGAAAAGCTCAGCACATAAATATACAAGACAAGGAATCCCAGAATTTCTTCCACAGGCACTGAAACATTTTAAGGCACAGACTTTGGAAGCAGGTCCAGAAATGCAAACAAACATCAAAGTTGAAATCCAGATGGATGGAATTGTCTCCAAGGGTTGACCAACTAATTACTGTTTAAGAAAAAAATAACCTTACTGGAGATTTTGTATCTACAATGACAAAGTTGCTGTTTCCATTCCTCTTGTTCATACCTTAGGGAAACTTGCATCTTATTAATATTCACCTTTAGTGTTTATATTCACCTTTAGTGTTTATATGAATTCACCTTTAGTGTTTATATTCAAATGATCCCTTTCTTTTTCTTGAATGTATCAAATGTGTTTTATCTAGAAGCTCTTCCCTCTTCTTTCTCTTCCATTATGCAGGATGTTCTCCCTCAACCCAAACTAAAAGTCAGTGAGAGCAAAATATGTTTTGCAATTCAGGAAGTGTTCATTAACTGAAACTTACTGGGGAATATACTATGCAGGAGCTACTGATGAGAAAATTATTCCTGGAAAACCTGAACCCCAGTTTCTTTTCTTATTCCCCATAACTTTTGCTATAGCTCACAACAACTACATTCTTGGCTCAGTCACAGAAAACCATGCTGTGTTGTCTCTTTCTCATACTACTGTTATCAACAGTGGTGAACAGGAGTGAGAACTTAGCCAACAAGTGTTTCAAGGAGAAAAAAAAACACCCACAGAAAAAAAAAAAAGAGGATCAGGACAAAAAAATTACAGAAATAGTGTAAAACTTCTTCAAGTTAAGTCTTTTTCTACTCATGCCCACTTCTTATCTGGCAATAATATCAAAGCCAACAATAATAACAACTCTGCATTTCTGTGACCAAGATAATCTTCTAATTGCTCTCCTGGCAAGGAGCTCAAGAAGAACTATCTAGTAGTTAAGGATAGCTCCAGATCCACTGACTTATCTCACACATCTAACATTCAAATGATAGTCATTAAAAAACCCCTCATCTATCATGTTCAATCTAATACAAGGCTTTCTGGAAGATTCCAACAGAACAAGGAGTTATATCCTAGAGATCAAGTTTAAAAAAATAGACAAACATATTTAATTAGAAATTTCTTCACTTATGCAATACTACCAATCAGCATCATATTGAATGAACTTCTTACAATACTAATATGCTTCCTAGATTTTAACCTTTAACAAGCCAACCTTTAACAAGTTTACTTTTTATCACAGTAGAAGAAGATTCAAGTCCTCTCTCCTTCCTTTTTAACACCTCAGAACAAAGCACATACACAGATATATATAGAAATAGATGTAAATATCTACACACACATTTTCTGATATGTGAAGCTGAAACTACAGTTCCTGACAGATCATTTGCATTTTCCCAAGACATAGATCGGCAGAAAAATACCTCAGCCAAATCAAAGGACTCTGACAGCAATTTAGTGTACCATGGCACATTTAAATCAAGCTCATCCGCAAAGAATATCCCCTTAACAATTGGCATGTACTACAGATCTGTATTTCCCTACCACAGTTTAAATTCAGACCTAAAAATCCAAACCTAAGCCATGCTAATTATCAGTTTTAAATACCATGAATTCATTTTTTACATTTGCATTAGTCTCCTTCAGTGCAGAAAAAGATGTCCCAGGGCTGCCCTTTACTTTATTCTAGCTTTCGCTAAAGATTAAGGAGTTGTGGTTGGACAAAATCGGGCACTGCTGCTTTTCTCTGCTCAAGAAAGATGAATATACCTTATATATTTTCCAGGCAAATAGAAATTCCACATTAGAGAAATGGGCTTCTACTGCAACTTAAAGCATTCGTCTCAGTAAGAGAGGAGAGTGCTAAATTGAAAAGGTACATGTTGAAAGTAACCAGGGTGGCTTTGATTACATTTATAGATTGACAGCCAGGGGATGACAAAAAACTCTTAAGGGCTGGAGTCAAAGTTTGAAGTAAAGGAGGATCTGTCTCCAGATATAAAGCTGTAACGGAGACAACTTTTAAGATAGGTGAAAAGAAAAGGTGTGCCTAAGACCTTGTCTTTTTATTTCCAGTTATATGAGCTAGTCTTTTGGAAGGTACTACATCTCTTCACAGAACCTGCCTCACCATTACAATTGCAACAGCAAAATTCCCCCACCCATTTCCCCAGAAATATTAAAGCCTCTGTGCATGAGTGTTCAAATTAAATGTGGATTCTTAATAACTTTAGGGCATTAGTTCAGTATCTTTGAAAAAGGGACAGACTGTTTTGCTTCACATTTGGAATATTTGATGAAAAACAGCAAAGTCCCTTGCAACATTCATTTTAGCAGCAATAATGACCTACACAAGGATTGCAATAATACCCTCTACAAAATAATCTAAATTATTTTATTAGATTGCCAGTTTCATAGGTCAAAATTTGACAATTTAGGTTTCTTCTGATTAAATTATATCTGCAGTGCTTGTAAAGAAAGTTTAATTATGAAAAGGAATGTTAGTCCTATGTATTCCCTTTCACAAGTTACTAGTTTCCAATCTTAGCTTTTCTCTAGTCATATTTACAACACTCATTTCTCATTTGGGTTTCTATACTGGAGAAGGATTTGCTACAAACTACAACCAGTTATTTCAGGACATTCAAATCCTTCTCCACAGACTCTGCCAGGCAGCATGTGCTTGCAGCAGAGATTGAAATATGTCCTGATTAGTTCTTGATTGTGGCAATTTCTTTCGGGGTCTTCAAGGCAGCTTAAAAAGCAGATCAAGAAAGGTGAGAAACCAAATAAAAAAAACCTCAAGAGCAAATAGCATACATATGCAGAACCATCAGAAGCCAAGGGGCACACTGCCAAGCCTGCGGAAACCTCTCTAAATAAACAAATACATAACAGAAAGATAGAACACCAGTCTGAAAGCAAGACAGGGGTGACTCAGAAGATAAAGAGTAAAAGAAAATCAGATAAGTATTTACAATAGAGTGAAAAGGGACTTCAGAAGATGTGATTTTTGTAAATTTATTTTTCAAATGCGCTGCAAGTCCAGTACATGCAAAATCCATGACGGAATATGCTGCCCCACATGGGCCTCCTGCCGTTAGGACATGCACATATGCAACTCACTCATTCAGCAAAGGCATGGACGTTCTCCTCTTGCTTTTCTGCACCATGTTGGCTTGGTTCCTTAAGGAGATGCGGATGAGGGAGGGAGCCAGCCGACAGGGCTCGCCGTCCACTTGCATGGGGATGGACTTGTATGTCAAAAGTGTCACCTCCCGGCACTGGTGCAAGCGCTCTCCGTGACCACCCACCTGGAGAGCAGCCTGCAAAAAACAAACAAAACACCAAGCAGGGAAAAGATAGCTCAGAACAGAGGCAGCTGAGGCAGTCAACAAATCCAAAATGCCACTTTGCTGGCAGCATCCATTACACAGTACTCCATACCTAAGCTATTCTGAAAGAGCACAATGAAAGTGTTTTCACCCCAAAACTGCAAAGCAACAAGCAGACATCTAACCACATGCATTATAGGACTCATGATCTATATATACACACGTGTGAACACACAAATTAATAACTGTGTTCATTCTTAAAGCTTTCTATTTGTTTTGGTCTGTTTGTTTTTACAGTAACAGTCATGCTAATAATTATTTGCTCTTTAAAACAACATCTCTAATTAGATACATCTGTGAGACAGAAAAACTATTTCCCCTTCCTGAACAGAATAGTTCTTAATATGAATAAGATAAATTTTTTATCATGAAAGCTTGCACATCAAGTCAACTTCAACATTAGACAGGCTGAAAAGAGCAAGCAGAAGGGCCTTGTTAAAACAATTAAATATCATGTTAAAGAATTCACTTCAAAGAAATTAAGGAAGGCAATAGCAGATCCTTCAAGTTCCAGGCAGATGTGTTTGGGCAGAAAAGTATTTTTTTAATGAATATGATATTATGTAACAATTAACTCTCATGTCTCAGATGCAGGAAAAAAATCTCATATTAATGAAATGCTAACAGAGAACAGTGCAAACACAAGGCAAGGCCCGTGCACTTAATATTATGGATCAATTGCCAATATGATCAACAATATAAGAATGTTTTTTATAAAGTAGTTCTTTCCCTTGGTTTCACAAACCCACTTGGGTACAACAAGCACATCTGAGACATACAAGGCAAGTCAGGATTATATCAACACAGTCTAGGGTTACAATCGTTCTTCAGCTTCATAACCAAAGTACACCTGTAGACCCACAGTTCTCCTTTTAATAGAAACAGAAGTTCAAAGGGCCCTACTTCTAAAATTCAGCCCCAACTGAAATTGTTGGTATCTTTCAAGATCTGTCTAGCGACTTCAATTTACTAGAACTGTGTTAGTGGCAAAAATGAAAAGCTCTTCTGACTGAAAACTATGAGTTTGTACATGCTAAAGTATTGACAGCATTTTCAAAAACATGTCCTAAACTTCTCTTCACTTTTATTCCACAGCATCTACTAGGCTACTATATAAAATTTTTCTTGAGGGTTATTTCCATAATCTACCAGGCCCATTAAAAAATAAAAAAAAATAAAAAAAAAGAAAGTCCAGGAGTATCCTTAACCCAGACAAACTTTGAAAGGAAAGAAGGAAAGATTGACCAAGACTGTCTGTTGCTTACTTTGAAGATTAGATTTGCTTGAATTTCTCTTTGAGGAAACAAACACCATTATCGTGGGTATTTACTGAAAGTGATATGGACTGAGGGCAGGTCACACAACAAAGGAGTTTAGCTAAAACAGGCTTATCCATCTTTGTTTTAAACTGGGTTACATGAGACAGCAGCAACAAAGGCCTACAGGTATGGAGGTAAGTGTGAGCTATAAAAATTCACCAGCAAGTCCAGCTGAGGGCCTTCTACTGGCCACACTAAGCCCAAGCTGCAGTGCCTTAGGTAGGCTGGTGCTGGCATGGAGATAATTGCCAACTTTGGCTGCATTTAACCACCCTCTGAAGACACTGTCACAGTGTCTCCCAGGGTATTTAGAGGAAGCTTGCTTTTATGGTAACTCAGTTTAGTTCACTTTAAGGACAGCATTGGAAGAAAGTACACTGACAAAATTGTTGGCTGAATTTCCTTTTCCTAGCAGAACAAAAAGGAGAGATAAAATTCATGCAAGAAATGCCAATAAAGTTTTCCACAGCTATTACTAAAGTTTCACAAGATTTGTGCTGAGCATATGGAAATTGTATGTCTATATAAGTTTATATAATATTTCATATTTCTATACCAGCTATACATAAAAATAGACTTTAATGCCATAGAATGAAATATATAAAAGTTAAAGAGAGAAAGGAGTGTTTATTTGATCATAGTATTATTAGTATTCCCACAGTAAAATCATGACTTCATGCTCTTATCATACTGTTCTTACTGTAATAACCTTGCCATTTAACTTCAGAGCACTGCACATGCAAATCAGTCATATTTTGCAAGTAATACTTTTTGTTATTAAATAACACTTATCAGAATATAACTATTTGGCTTTGCCGTTTAACAGCAGAGCTCTCTTTGGCCTTGTATGACCATGGGGAAACACATCTGTTTTTCAGTATCAAGGAGTATTTTGCACCTTGCAGGGCAGCCCACGGAGCTCTCCAGCCCAGCAGCACCCCTGTACTCACCAGCGAGGCCATGGTGAACCCGATGACTTCGATGTAGCCATCGTCGTGACGCTGGGGCTCAAAGTCTCTGTGGTCACCAGGGTTCCCCCAGGGCATTGTGCCAGCACAATACCTACAGAGAGAGGTTTGGAGAGCGAGTTGGAGAAAGCAGCTTGCCCTGATGGGTCCTGACTAATAACCTCTTAGACTGTTCTTTTTGTTCCCAAGCTGATACAACACCCTCAGGTGTATCCATCATAAACTTTATCAGGTTCCTCTCTGAGAGGGAAATGGGGAAATACCAGGAAACAGGCCATGGAGCAGCAGCACTCCCTATTTGCTTTGATTCCTTCTGGTAAGCTATTGAGCCATAAAGCTGTTTTGCCCCTCTTTCCCCTCTCCCTGCTAGCTCAGCACAAGGAATGCAAAACATTGCATAGTTTGAGGAGGCAGGGAGACATAAGAAGCTGGAACAGATACAGCTGTGGCATTTCTCTTTTCTACCATCAAAGAATAGATGTGAAAGTGATCTGAAAGTGATAGAAGGGGGAACTTCAGAGAGGCGGCACCAAGCAGAAGCTTGCAGTACAGGACTCAAAAGATTAAGTGCTTGGGACTGCCTGTGGAGCAAAGTAGGAAGTTGTCTAAAGCAATGGTCTCCAAAGTGGGGTGCATGCAAGAAAAATCCACAACTGACAAGAAAATTAGAGTGTATGAAGGAAAATAATACTTTTACTTTCAATAAGAAGGCAAACATTTAAAAAATTTAATTGTTTGTTTCATCTTTATGACATTCTTTCTTAATTCATATTTGTGCATGCTTTATATGGCTTGTAATACTAGAATAGAGGTACATGTATACAATTTATAAATATGCATATATTGGGGTGGTGTTTAAAAGCTTTTGACTGATAGAAATGAGCAATCAAATTAAGTTCAGAGACGACTGTTTTGGAGAGCAGGAGATCAACAACTTTTGATAATTCGGCTATATTTTTATTAAGGACACTTTGTAACACGTTAATAACTATGACTTCTTTCAGCAGTTTGGTATTCCTTAACTGGAAAAATATTTGTCCTTCCCCTCTCTCCATTTCTGTCCCCTCCTCCCCTTTTCCTTTTTTCCCCACTCTTTGATTCTAATTAAGCACAAGACCAGGTATCTGTTCCTTTACTAACTTGTTTGCAGGTTAGATGCACAGCTCTTCAAAGTTTGTTTGTTAAGCATTTCTACAGTATCAGGATAATCAACTTTTCAAGGAATGGTTTTGCTGCACCCTGAGCTCTGATGCCATTCTGTAAGCTCAGTAACAGCATTATAAGCAGCCAGCTTTAAACAAGGTAGCCCAGAGGCTATCTTCCTGTACATTCAAAATGCTTCCTGTACATTCACCCAGCCTAGGACAAGTGGTAAGTGTCTCTTGAAAACTATTGTTATTTTTCTTGTATAACTTCAAGAATCTGTTTTGAGCTTACCTGGGTATGTTTAAAAACACTATACACTGGAACTTCAGCTCCTGGATCTTTGGAGTCAGGTCTGTACCATCACACTACAAAGCCAAAGTGACAGAGCACAGAGAAATTGCTGAATGGAGCCACAGACAAGAGAAGTGTTGCTGCTTTGTAACAGCTTTCCCAAGACTTTCCTTGGAATGTGTTGCAAATGTCATGCTCAAAACTGAAAAGTAACAGAGCCATTAAACTCTCACCTCACTCTCTCTCCAAACCCCCACCCCCTTCCCACAATACTACGACACAATTTCTTATACTCACCACAACTTTAACATGCTTGGATAAATCTCTTGAGCTTCTTTGCAGAAAGTCTGTAAAGGCTGCCTGCAACAGAAATCAGTGCAGGAATTGTCAACACTTCCTCTCTTTTTTTTTTTTTTTTTTTTTTTTTTTACCCCTGAGTTCTTATCCCTCCACAGAGCTAATTACCAAAATGCCATCTTTTGGTCAAACTTACTCTCTCAGAAAAGATTATTTAATTTTGTTGTTTCAAATTGTGATACTTCTGCTTTTGAGAGCTTAACTGAAAAAAAAAGTCCTTGGACACCCAAGTTCAGTGGTGTCCTGGACCATTAAGCACAAATTCTTGCACACATACTTGTTTTCATGTTTAAGGCACATGGGTACAGTGGGTGTCATCATTCAGAAATACATTGTATGCCATTCATTATCAAACTGGTGTTTGCTCTTAATGGCTTTAGAATAAAGTGTTGTCCATTTGCCTCCTGGATGCACAAGTGAGCAATTATATGTGTATATTCACCCATCATTAATCACTCCAAATATCTGATTTGTGCCCTAAGAAGCTTATGAGCCAGAAGCCAAGGGACCAAGATATGACCGGGACTGTGTCCAAAGGAGTGGCACTTTTCTCACCTGCCCAGCTCTGTATAACAACAGTACCAGAGGCTCTTTTCTACAGAGACCTGTGTGTGCCACTGCCAGAAGCAGCATGAGTGCACTTGAAATTGTAACAGGCAGAATGAAGTGGCATAAGCTCCTGATGTGAGAAAGTGAGGGGGAAGATAATTAAGAAGACACTCAAGCAACTAACCTAACATCTTTCTGTGAGACAAATCTGTACTTACCCCAGCATAAAACATTTTATTTCTAAATCGGCTGTTGAATTTCTCTGGATTTGCTTCTGTGAAAGGATGAAAAATAAAATTAAAATACCCTAATAAAACTAGTAGACTTCATTCTACCTTCACATTCCCTGCCAGCACTACAGTGCTTTCAGTGTATCACTCATAGAAAATATTACCATAAATATGTTTTGCATGTGTGAGTCCCCCATCTGTGCCTTTCTCTGCTATCAGATTTCAAACATTGATATTGAATTAATCCCTTTTCTTGTAGAGAGTAGAAATAGATCAAAGAGGTAACAAGAACTCAATCAGTTAATTTAACACCTCTCAGACTATTCAACTTGTGATCCCTCAATAGAATTTGTAGAATTTCTGTTTCTAACAATGGAGAACAAATCTGTAAGAATTATTAGAAATTTATGGAACAATAACTCATGCTGTGAACCAGGAGTAAAGCATTAGTAAATTACAAGGTGAAACAGCCCCTAAATTCTGTTATGTTATAGAGTTACTAAGGAATAGACATTTCTACCCAAATATTTCTGCAGGAAAAGGGGAAAAAAAGAAATTGGTTACTTTAAAACCTATTTAGAAACCCATTTCATTTTGATTAGACTCCACGAGATGGATAATTTTAAGTTTAGTAGTAATGTACATCTAATGGTTAATTATTCTCTCTGTTAATGTAAATGTGGCAGTTTCCAATCTTGAAATTTTCAGTCTTAAACTGCCAGCTGCTAAATCTTGTTATACTTCCCTGTCAGATTAAAGAGCCTTCAACTATTGGATATCTTCTCCTTGAGTAAATACTTATAGACAGTGATTAATTTGCTTCTTAACCTTCTTTTCAATAAGCTAAATGGAGTTCCCTTAAGCTTCCAATATAAGGCATATTTCCCAGTATACAGTTCATCCTTGAGCCTCCTTGGAAACTGCTTTCCTTGTTTGTGGCATCTAGAGATTCCAGAAGAAGCCCTTCTGACCCTGTACTCAGTGCCAACTTCTCACCCTGGTTCATTGATTCTCTAGTGAAAACATCACTACTACCAAGGCAGTCCTTCTGGCTAAAGCATCACATAAGCGTGGACACATCTAAATTACCTCTCAAATGACCACTTAAAACAATACTTCCATACCTCTTGAAAGCCACTACATCTCACAAAATATGGCTCCATGTTGTGAGAGTGAGCTGCTTAAGGTTTCTGATTTGTTTGTTGGCCCAGTTACTATAGCTGTTGCTGTGTCACAGGCGACTCAAACTCTGTCTGGGCCACTTCTACTTCAAACAACGAATTTAACTACATAAATCAACCTCATCTCACTTACTGAGCTCACAGCTCTTTGCAGAGAGTCTCAACACCCCATGCTAAGCAGCAGAAAGCTTCTGAAGACTTAGTGCCTGTGCTGTACATTCTCTCATGTGAGTATCTTTGATAGTTCCAAACAGCAGACACCACAGCACTGGACCTTATATACATCTGATGACTAAACCCCCAGTTTAGAACAGGGAAAGGAACCTTTCCAATGTTAGGGATTCAGCAGTCCCTCAACCTACTAGTCCTACTTCTGCCAACACAGATAAGCACGGGTAGGGAGGAAGGACTCTGTGATATAAAATAGAGTCTTAAGTTGATTAGAGTGTAACTTTGTAGAAGTAAATTATTGAGTGCATAGTCAAGGCTTACTCCATCCTCACCATTCCTAAACCATGAAAGAAGTAGAAAATGGAACGTGTTAGACTCTGTGTGCAGTGGGGAAGTTTCCTGCAAATCAACAGTCCTGCACGGCTGAGGGATCAAACAGCATGTCAGTGGGGATAAAGTAAATTGCATCTTCCATGCTCTACCAAAGGATAAGGATACCAGTGCAGGAAGTTGGAAACAGCCAGTACACAGAACACTTCTCAGAGAAGCAGAGCTAAATACATTAGACTTGGATCCAATCCTTAAGTCTCAATCTGATTAGTCATAAGAAAAGTGTAGAGGTTGCCATGGAAAAGGCCACATTAATATATAGGTTCCTCTAAGACACTGCAATCATTGCTCATTCTAAATAAAACAGCTGACCAATATCTACTGCTTAAAGTGCCCTGCTAGGCTGAGAGCTCATATCAATTTATCTTATTTTGGTTATCAGGCATGATATTAATTTGTTTTAATACTATATATGATTACAATAGGTCCACATAAGCAAATGTATACAGCCAATTACCGCAAGAGCACAAATGCTATAGCTGTGAAAATACTTAACATTTTGCTACCATTGCTAAGAATTTCTCTGGATTATCATCAGTGGTAAGTAAGATCATAATCTGCTTTGCATTGATTAATTCACCAAGCCACAGCTGGTGAATTAATCAGCTTCCTTGGGCTGGAAGGAGTCTTTAAAGTCCATCTAGTCCAACCCCCTGCAATGGGCAGGGACATCTTCACCTAGATCAGGTTGCTCAGAGCCTCGTTCAATCCAACTTCGAATGTTCCCAGGGATGGGGCTCCCACCACCTCTCTGGGCTACCTGTGCCAGTGTTTTACCACCTCATTTTTAAAAACTTATTCCTTATATCTAGTCGAAATTTACACTATTTTTGCTTAGAGCCATTATCCCTTGTCCTATTGAAACAAGTCACCATTTTTCTTATAAATCCCCTTCGAGTACTGAAAGGCTATAATAAGTACTCCCAGGAGCCTTTTCTTCTGCAGGCAGAACAACCCAAATTCCACATGAAAAATAATACAACCCACACACCAGCAACAAGCATCAGCAAGACTATAAGTTTTCCTCTTCTAAAATACATAGATTTCACTTCATGTATTTTAGCATTTGAGAAGACAAGGACTACACTAGCAGTGAAGACTGGTGCTACAGAAGCTCTGCTGGCCAGATATTCTCAGACATACAGCTTGCTCTGCCAAGTGCTTTTTCACCCGTGTAAATTTTTAAAACCCTGGCATGTCTGGAATAACATTCATCCTTTATAGGGCTCCATAACTTCATTATTAAATAATGCGTCCATTAAATGAGAAAGTAGCCATGCATTTAATCTATACAGTATATTCACAGTCACATTAGCAATGCAGAGTGGCATGCACTCATAAAAAAAATGCATACAGCTGTCATAATTTCATTCCTGTGCCCTTTTGTGGCCCCTTATTATTATTCCTAAAGCTTGAAGCAGTCTTAAACATCATAAAATATGCATTAGCTCATTCCATCATGTATCCTGCTCTTTATTTAGCCTGGCATTAGAGTGCTTTCTTTTCATCTTGAAATGACATTCTGATAGTATGACAGTGACTATAAGGAAGGCAAAGTTTCAGAAAAAATACCTGCATATGAAGCTGACCTGCATATGAAGCTGACCTTGTAAATTCCCCTTAAGAATGACCAAAATATGAAGGCAGACACCTGAGCAAAGTTTGTTTTCACAAGCACACCTGCCTAAACCATATAAATAGAGCCATTCATATCAGTGCAAAGCTGCTAATAGCAGTCCTTAAGACACAGGCTAGTCTGTAGAGGGTGGCATAGCAGCCACTGGCAAGGGGACAGACAAAGTGCTACAACTGCTCAAATTTCTGACACTTCTGCAGACATTAAACCTTTAACTTGCATAGAGACACTCTGGATCTGTACCAAGTCCAGGGATGTTGTGGTATACTGATCCACAGGTAACAGCTGTTCAATTTGAGAACACAATTATATTCCTGTCACTTCCAGTCTTGTGGGTCTTCTCTTCCCTCCACTTCCACGCTCACACCTGGCATATATTATCTCCTTTACAAGATCTAGAACTTTGTAAAGCTTCCCTTTCAGTCCTTTTCCTTAAGTACATTACAGTCTTCTTTGTACTTATTACATTCCTTAATCATGAAGTCCCTTGGAAACTCATACCACAATCATTTTTTCTTCCTCTATGTATCTTAAGGTTTTAAGGTTCCATCTTTACTTCTGATTCATAAGAACAGGATGTTAAATCCAAATCTATTTCTAATTAATAAAATAACAGCCCATCCATAAGGCTAAGGAAATAAAAAGTTCCTATTACCTCTGGATTCATGGAACTCCAGTGTAACATGTGCATCAAATCCAAGACTGAAGTAATTATTGAAGACGTTGAGGGGAAGCTGTAATTAGACAATAAAGAGACATTAAAGCAGCATGAATGGAACATTTCTCGACACACCAGGGTTTAACTATTTAAACTTGGGTCATCATGGAAACCTACTAAGAACAAAATAGAACATATCAGGGAAATGTAAGCAGAAGGTTGCTCTGAGGGTTAGTAATGGCTTGTGGAAAATGATCAGATGCAAGAGCCTGAAGAATACAAATAGACCTACAGTGCTTTATGATCATATGTGTGTCTTTGTCAAGAAATCAAAGGGTTGCTTATGTTGTCATTTAGATTCCCCATAAGGCTGCACCACTCAATATATCACCAACACAAAGGTTTTCAAAGGTTTTGCTGGCTCTTCAAGCTCAGTATGGCAAATGAAGCTCCAGCTGTGTTCTCTCGCTCCATATATAACCAGGAGCAATCCAAGTCCCAGAGAAGAAGCCCCTATTGAGAATGCAGGAGGCAGGCAGGCACACATCTGGCCTCTTCATTGTTTCACACACCCAGTGGGCCTCTAGAGAGGCAACTGTAACATCCAATAGATAAGCTGGAAATTATAACTGAGAAGAAGAAAATGGTTCACAGAATTGGGAGGTTTTTTTTAGTGTTGTAGTATTTTCAACATCTCCAGTCCAAATGATAAATTACTATGCGATTTCCTTGCAAAAATTTTCCCATTCTTTAACTACCAAGAATACACTAGTGGAGATTACATGGAGACCCACATAGAAAGAAGTTAAATGCAAAAATACACTACACCTTGCTGTAAAGTGGGAAATAGTTTGTATCCCTTAGCAAATCCTAAGGAATTAAATTTTACATCCTGTTTTTAGTTTTGTCTAATTGGGGAATGCATGGCAGTGACAGGGCTGCTTTTCCTGGGACTAGCGAAAAGCAATGACCTTTCTGATAAAATTCTAGGGATTTTTTTCCCAGGATTTAATCTTTGACATAAATGTTCAATGCCAGGGTGTTTCAAACAACAAATAAATTCCTTTCACACAACTCTGGAATCACTGACACATGAAAAGAATCAAAAGGAGAGATGCAAATAGAAAATTTAAAAGTTGCAGAATTCCCCACCCATGCTGCTTAAAGTGTAACCCAAAGAGATCCATAAGCATTCTGTAGCTTCCATGGGAAAAAGTAGGCTCTAACCTTACGTGCCCCATCCTCCAGCTCATCCTGGGGCAAATCAGGGTTGCGCTCAACCTGGAGGTTCCAACGGTCCAGCTGGACAATGGTTCCATCCTCTACATGGCACAGGATCTTAGACACTGGCTCATCTGTGTAACCCTGACAGCAGAGTGAACAGAGTATCAGCCACAGATGGTGAAAACAAATCAAGTTACCAATTACCTACAGACTTCCCTCCTTTCACACGTGCCTAAGACCCTTGATAAATTTTTGATCAAGTATTTTAACAAGCTACTATTGAGGTGCACAAGTCTAGGGCAGGCAAAGTAAGGCCATAAGGAGAGGAATTCAAAGAATATTTGCCTTTCCTGGAATAAGCTGTAGTAAAGCATAAACTAAGAGAAAGTTCAAATTATGCTTAAATTAGAAGCCTGTTTACTGTTCTTGTCACCTGGCCTGAAATACAAGATATATATATGTACACTTTGATGTTGTGATGTAACAACATCATTAATAATACAAAATCCCAGACTGCAAAATGAAGCAAACCATTCAGCCAGAGTGAAACAGACCTTGGACATAGCCCTGCCTGCTATTTTAGCCAAAAGGAAATTCCACCCCACACAACTAAATCTGAGCAGCAAGTGGAGAACCCCCACATAAAGGTACCCCAGCCAGTCCTTACCCCACCCCAGTTGAGGGTGCGGGCAAGGTCATTCCCAGTGCCAAGTGGAAGGACAGCCACAGGAGGTGGGGGGCTGAGTTGCAGCTCATCGAGGATGGACAGGATCCAACCCACCTATAAAAGGAAAATTAAGAAAATCTTCAGGAATATTATAGGAAAAAATACATACTTTGATCATATCATATTCTTTTTTACAAAAACCAAATAAAAGAAGTCTAAACACGAATGAAGAATAATATGGACAATTCAAGACAAGTTTTTTTTGTAATTACCATTATGTCAAAAGAAACTCAACCTTTGACAAACATCTATGAAAGAAAATGAGAGACACATTAAAACAGTATGGTGTCTCAGAACTTGTCCTGCCAAGCATGAACTTGCTCACAAGTCTCCCTCTCCCACAGAAGAGACCTTAGTGCTGAATTAGTTCACTCAGTACAAGGCATTATATCCTTATATATACACAATATACAGATATACACACACATACATATCTAATAAAAGAATAAAAGGCTAGACTAAAAGGCAGACTACAACTCAGGGTTGGAGGCTTTGGATTGGAACAATGAATCTGTCTCTTTTGCATCCTAAGCTATTAGTTATTTCAGAGACCTATTTCTTCTATATTTCTTCTGGACTACATAAAGCTTTCAGATAGAAATCTAGCCAGAAGGAACAAATTACTGTAAATTATTTTGTTTTCATTAAATAGTAATATTCAAAGGGGAGAAAGAATAGTTGCTAAAGATGTTATCAGACTTTTGGTGACTGAAATTCTTGCTGCAAAACAAAGGACTCTTCCTTAAAATACTTGTCACTTTAGGGAAAAAAAAAAAAAAAAGGTGAAGAACCTCTGCTGCATTTTTAGATAAAGAATTAATAAAAATTAACAGAAGATTTTTTTCTGTTGCCAGTTTTCAAAGATCCAGTTTCTACTGCAAATGTGAGCTTTTAAATAGGACAGAAAACCTAAATCCTGACTACAGATGGATTGAATTTTTCTTGCCCTAATTATTAATACTGTGATTTCAAAGATATTCTCAATCCAAATCAGGGTAGCTTCATAAAAGACACCCAGCATAACATGGCCATCAGGAAAAATAGCTGGAGTTTGAAGGACTGCAGAAGAAGTGGCCTGATAAATGCAGAAACCATGATGCTATTTAATATTCTAGGGTATTTCTTTCTCCAAGTCTCTTCAAAATAAATTTAATTTTGCACAAATGGCATTTATCAGACAGCTACTTATGATAACCAATTGTCCAATTATTAAAGCATTCATCTGGGATGTGATCCCCTGCTTGAGTTCATTGTCTGACAACAGCCATCTCAAGTACTTACAGGTCTCATGACTTTGGATGTCAGCAAAAATACTGAGGCCTTTAAAGGGATTTTCAGAGGTAAGTAATCCTCCCTCTTTCAAAATATCTATATTTCTGCACTGATAACAGGAGACAGAATAAAAAGTCAAGATAACATCATTAGGGCCAGGGCTTCATAAAGAAGTTGGTCATTGGCATTGCCACTGACTTAATCCACATATTGTGCTTCAGCCTCCCACTGCTACAGGTGACATCAAAATACCCACCACTTTTGTAAATGCTTTTAACTGATGAACAAATTTCAATTTATAAGCACAACATTGCTATTTAACCTGAGGTCATTTCTAAAGCTTGTACATTAGTTGCATAATCCAGGATGACACAGAAAGCTTCTGGCTGCTTTGAAAGCAAAGCTTTCCACTTCTACCCTGAAGTGACAATGGAAAAGTTACTCTAAGTTCTGATTCACCTCAATAATGAGAGGTAACATCTGGTCTCATTGCATATTCATTAAGTCCATTTTAGCCATATTTTTCATTTCTAGATGTAATGGCTTTGGGAATAACTAGATATTAATTTGTTTCAAACTGAGCAGCAGCAGAGGTAATAGTGGAGTGCTGCTCATACTAATGAGAAGGTGCTGCCACCTCTCGCACAGTTCAGCAAAGGGAAATAGGATGGTCCAACTCAATGTAGTTGTATTCTTTTCTCTTTTAATATCTTAATGATAATTTTTCCACCCTTCCTCAGATGGGAAAAGAAACAGATGGAAACACTTTTTCTCAGATGATGCCTCCTAAGCTAAAGGTCTGCCTTTCATGTTTCTTAAGGAAAGTTCATCATTCCAGTAGCAGACACATCTTGTTTTCCCACGTACCAGCAAGGCAGTGATCTTTTCACTGATTTTTCTCTTCATTCTTGCAAAGGAAGTATTGATATTAATAACCCTACCCCTGGGGTTTTAAAATAACCCACAGAAGCTAGAAAAATTCCCCCAGAAATTCAAGCCATAGTGAATTAAGAGAGGGGATTCAGCTCTCTACAAAATAAACCAACCACCTCTCCAAGCCCTAAATCTACACAGATATGTGCTGTCCAATCACTGCATCTTGTGATTGGTAATGCATTTTCCTTACCATACTTATTTCTAAAATTACCATCAAATAAATGTTGAGGAACTGAGCCCCCTAGAGATTAAAGGTCAGTTTTTCAAGTGTATGTAGCACTCAGTGGCACAGGCTGAAATTTAAAATATTTTGAAGTACTGGAAAGAGAATGCAGTTATAATAACTCCATTACCACTCCTGACCTTCAGACCACGAGCTGAAGAATTTTTCTCCAAATGAAGGTGCACAAATTCTTTCAAGACCTGACCCCATTCACTAATCCAGAACACAGAAATTGTGTTGTAAAAAAAGTACTGAACCTGGATCTGCCAGGACCTAGCAGGAAGGAGCAGAAATTAAGATTTAATGGCTTCCAGACACTAGGTTCACCTTCTAGACCCTCAGATCTAATGTATAGAGTGAGAGACCAGCAAAGTTGTCTTTAACTCTTTTAAGCTGCACAAAATCTTTATGCATAAAGAGGGCTTTGGACATGAGAATCTGGCCCCATATCTTCACAGGCCAGACCACACAGAAAATTGAAAAACACATATCAGATTTCACAAGTGTAAGATATGTTGTCTCTCTGCCTCTGCAGGCAGGGTGAGGTGGGAAACCCACCACTGTGAGGAGTTTAATCACTTGGCCAAAGACCGTGGCACTGCCAAGTCCCTGCCACCTACCGTCCCATCCCCACCGCATGCCAGGATCCGCAGGTTCGGCACTTTTCTGTACAGCTCCAGCCTGCCCAGGGAAGGAAAGGGGGGAAAAGGAAAAAATGTAACAACAGTAATGCAGACATTTTTAATGCATTTTGCTGAGTGACAGTGTAACCACCACTTACTGCACTTTCAAATATTCATTACTAAGAATATGAGTAGAGGTGGAAATGCAAAACCACTAAGATGTGAAATGAGGCCTTCCTCCATGTCAGGCAGCACCTCCTGACAAGTGTTTGATCAGTTTAGCATCTTCCCAGGTTTTCATATTCCCTCTAGGGAGGTCAAAATTTTTCATTTTTCTCTTACCCTAAAGCAAACAAATTTAAACACTGAGATTTTAAAACAATATTTAATGTTCTTCATCATGACTTGTTGAGCTACCATTTCTCAGTCTTGTATAATGTGACAGCTTCTTCAACTAGTGACTGTATTTTAACACCACAGAAGGCAAGAATATGTAATCGAGTCTTTCTCTGGATATGTGATCTAAATATCAACAGGAGAGACCAAAAAAAGCACCCACTGAAGTCCTGCTCCTTCTGCCGCAACCCAGAAATCCATAATGAAATGTTTTCTAACAAAGGAGGGGACATTCACATGTAGAGAGCTGAGTGACCAGAGCACCTAACCCTTTTTTTCCCCATTATACAGCTCTGAAAAATGTATGTCTAACTTAAAGCTTCTAAACATCATGAGAGAACAGCAGTGCAGGTTTTCTGCAGGAAACACTTGGACTGTTCAGGAAAATATTTGATTTTACATTATTACAGTAAAATATTTACAGTAATAATATTTACAAAAACATACAAAACAGATTTACAAAATGTGAAAGCAGTTCTGAACAGATGGTTAAGTAAAGCCAGTATCCCCATGTCCAATACCATAGAAGGATGGTTTCTCAGCCCTTGGCAGCAAGAATCAGCCCTTTAAAGAGAGGTACTCTCTCCCTTGGAATTGGTTTGCTCTTCAGTAATTGTCTGGCTAAACTGAGTTAACTAATCAGTGAGCAGGGACAGCTGTACAGCGCTGTCATGAGGCAGCCTCACCCCTCTGGAATGCTCATTCATTAGGGAATGGTCAGGCTTTGGGATCTTCAGCAAGCCTTGGAGCCATCTGGACCCAGCTCTGTCTGGACACAGGAGCGGCTCCTGACCTCTTCTCACAAAAGCCCCCACTGCAGCCCTTCCCCTTGCTACCAAAAGCTGGATATGCAAACCTCACATGGTCACTTATTCAGCCAAGCTAGATCTTTTCCTGTTTTCCTGACCAAACCAGAAATAGGGTGCACAGCAATGAAGGCTCCAGTACTTACGCATCTCTCGGCCCTTCCTGAGAGAGGTCAAAGACCTGGCGTGGATTCAAATACCACATAAACATTTGGAGAACCTTGGTGCCCTGGCAAGAGAGAAAAATCAAAGGAAGGGAAGTCATGAGTGGTTTAATGATTATTGGAAAGAATAGTGTGCATCATTCACTGCATTTCAACTGCTTTTCTTGTTTTCTGTGCTTCTTAAAGCCAACATAAAACAAGAAGACAAACTAGAAAGTGGCATAGCAAATGATTGCTCTGTAGAATAGCAATCCAGGACGAGGTGCACATGCAGGCGTATAGACCAATTTCAACAACACAAATCACTAATGGACCATAAGAACAGGCAGTTGGGGTCAGACCAAAGGTTAATCTCCCACAGCAACCTGTTCTCCTGCTTCTCACCACCTGCAACAGGAAGAAACCTCTGTTATCCCACCTCACTGTCAACTATCCATGACAGCAAGAAGTTGGACAAGGTTGTAGCCAAAGTCTTCATTACATTGAACAGTGTGCTACCCAATGTCCAGGCAATGACAGTGCTCTGGCCTCCACCATCACCATGATCATCATTCGTAATTGCAACCTCTACCATCTAATGAAGCAGGAGTCAAGGACTTTGTGGGGTACAGCTGCCCCAGTGGTCCCTCACTTTATGCAGTGTGGCCCAGCCCATTGCCTAAAGGTATAATTTCTGTTTACTCAAACTCTGAGATTCATATTCCCACTTAAATCCCTTCCTTCATGTTCTGCCCAGTGACAGGTTCTCTTACTAGTAGAGAGCTAAAAACACTATGGGCTGAGCTTGTACTCTGATTCAAGAATGCCTTTCAGACAGGGCCTGAGGGTACACCACAGGAATTTTCCATACGGAATCAGCTCTCCCTTCCTAGGAATGGCTCCTTTTCCTGAAGTGAAGTACTGTGGCAGCAGCTCTCTGGCCACAGAGAGCAGCACAAACTTTCCCAGGCATTGTCCTTGGGAAGGCTGTGAGAAGATCAGGAAAAAAATGATAAAAAATGATAAAAAATTCTTATCTTCACTTTCTGCACCTGTTGTTGTGAACACGTGGAATGTGTTATGGAGATTTGTTTACCAAAGGGTGGTTTCTTAATTGGCCAATGGTGATGGTGTTTAGATTGAAGGATTAATTGGGTCCACCTGTATCATGACTGTCTGTAAGGGCGATGGATTTCTTAATAAGTATGGTATAATAAAGTGATTGTTCAGCCTTCTGAGAAACATGGAGTCAATGCTAATTATTACCCTGCTGGGGCCAGTGGTGACAAAGAACCAAGAAAGCAGTCATAGTACCTAGGAGAAGGTATAAGAAGACAGAAAATAAATGCAGTGTTTGCCATAAGTATTCTTCCAGTCTCAGCTGTGTGCAGTTCATAGAACTCTTGAACCAGAGGGAGGTACAGGACTTCAAAGATTTCACTTCCAAATAACTCCTCCAGCCTGTGTAAATGTTTAGCATCCACAACTTCCTAATGCAAGGAGTTTTTCACTGAACTACAGACTGTGAGAAGAACCAGCTTTTTCCTTTTGTTTTCAACCAGTCTAAAGAGTTTCATTTGATATCCTCTCTAATTCTGACAGAGGAGAAAATGAGCAGCGCCTATACTACTCTCCATGCTCTGTAGGCCTCTGTTGTATCAATCTTTTCTATTACAAGGCCCTATTTATTGAAAGGCACTCAGATTCTTTGATATTCAAAATGTGGCAGAACCAGGAAAATATTCACTTGATTAAGTATTCATTCCAAGAATCCTAAGGAAGAAGTCTGCAGCATTTTAGTCACTGAAACTCTGTGTCTGTGGTACAGTACAAGACCACTAATGATTTTTTTACATGCCATAGGAATATGTCATTTCACATTCAGTAATTTCAACAGCCTTTCCTAGCAAAGCTAAAGCACTTTTTGGGTAAAGTCTAAAAGCTTCACTGGAAATCAAATTTTCTGTGGAAAGATGAAATCTTCTGAAAACCTCCAAATTATCATTTTAGATTCCTTTCTGAAGATAGGAGTACAACCACTCAAATTTCAAATATCCATTCCAGTCATCCAACACTACTGAAGTAGAATGGTCATTCCACAGCAAGGACCCCTTCTGAGGAAGGTCTTCAGGCTTCTTCAGGCATAAAGTCCTTTCTATCTGACTGGTCAAGAAACAGAGTAATTTGCATAAACCCTGCTGTTAAACTTAAATTTTGCAATCCAGACCCAGCTGATACTCTTACCTGATTCCCTCCACTTTTTGGATTGACAAAAACCAGCAGTGGCTTCATGAGTGGAGAGGAGATAGGTTTTATAACAAAAGGCCGCCCTTTGTTATCCTGAGAAACAGGAACAAGAAACAGCTTTAGTACAACCAATGTAAGTTTCTTTGGCATAGCATACACAGAAGATCCAACCTAGCTCTGACAAAACTACCTCAGGTACCGGAAATACTACAGCCAATGTCAATGTGGTGCCCAGCTGAGAGTAATTTATCCAACTGAGAAAACAGAATAAAATAAGAAGGGGGGAAAGATCATTTCAGGACAGCTTACAACTGTTTCAAAATTCATTCAAGATTATTTCTGACCCTGCTTCCCACAATTAGCCACACAATACTAATAACGTGTCAGAGACAGTGTTATTTCTAACACAGTTTTTCCAAAGGAAAATAGAACTACAAAAATTAGTTATTCCATTAATTTCATCTAACAGACAAGTTGCATAAGTAGTTATTTGCAGATAATCAAATTCTTGGCATTGCTGCTTTCCCACCTTCGAACAAATGCCACAGATCCAATATGACACATCAATGAGAAAACTATTTGCCTCCCTACTCCCTAGCCCTTGCAGGACACCCCAGAGCCCAGTAACGAGGGTACTGTCCTGGACTTTTACAGACACAGATCCCAGTTTCTGGTCTGCAAAAAATGCAAGAAAGGACTTGAACCAGAGCCTTGGCTATGCAGGGGTGAGTCTACCTTCACCTCTCCCATGAGGCTGTTTGTCTATATAATTAATTCACTAGGAAGGATATGGAAGCAAGGTCTTCTATAGACACATGGTAAATAAACCAATAGATCAATAAACTGTTTCCTCTCTCTGTGGTCCAATTTTAATATGAGATCCTCTGAAGAAGACATCCTAAAATGGATCACAGCCTTGCATCAGTGGGTTTCACAACCCAGTTTTACACTCCTTTCTGCTTAGTGGAAAAAAAGGGTGTGAGCTGAGTCTCTTACATCCCAAGGGAACACTCTCTCTAGGGTTCTGGTCATAATGGTTCTGGAGTATGGTACATTGTTTCTTGAAAAAAATCAACTCAGAAAATGAAACTTTTCATATGAGTTTTATCTCTTCTAACAACATGTTCAATACCATGGAATTTCCCAGGAGAAAAATATATTAAACACTTCCGTGAAAAAAAAGGGAAAAAAAAAAAAAGCCTAAAAACTTCTAAGTCTATGTTTAGACATTTAAACAAAAGGAGGATGATTTCCAAAGCACTGGAATACCTACTTCATTTCCTCTTTTGCTGGCTTTTCGTTTAAAGGACGTTCTCTTCTTTCGCCGTGTTGAAGTCTTTAAGGAGTTCTACATCCAAAGAATAAAGAATACATGAAAAGCAAAACAAAATTTAGAAGACAGGCCCAGACAGAGCCCCTTTACGAAGCTCTTCCATGCATGTCCACTTGGAGAATGATAAGAGTATCTGGCACATGCTCGAGATTTAAATTACATGCGCTGCATGCTTTACACTTCCACACCACCGTTTATGGAGAAAGCCACACACGGAGACCAGACTGGTGCTTTGGAACCGGAAACTTTCCCACGCTGTGAGGGGGAGAAAAGATCAGATGCTCCCATAGACTCACATAACACCACATGTTGTACCTGCCAACCCTCCCAAAAGGGGTAGGAGACGCCCGTTTCCCCTTCGGGGCTCCAGTCTCCTGCCCAATCAGGCTCGTCTCCTGGTATGGAGACCACCTGTATAAAGATGTAATAAAAAAACATGATAAATAAGGTATTTTTCATGTTTTTTTGTTTGCTTTTTTTTTTTTTTTTAAGGAAAGAAAACAACAAGTTTTAGCTCTGGCAACCATTATGACTCAACGTAACGTAGGCCACCATGGCATATGATGCTGGCACAGTAGAGTCAGTTCCAGCCTATCAAGAAACTTGTGTGATCATCTGCTAAGGAACAAACTGAATTGCTAATTTTTAGGGATTTAAGTAAAGAAGGTGTTGATGGGGTGATTTTTTTGTTGTGTTTTTAAATAATAATACCACTTAACTACATTGGAAAAAAAGGTACAAGTGCTTGTATTTTTGCAGAACCTATTAAAATAGAACTTATGTTAAGGCTATTCTCCATGCAGATGACAGTCTGCTCAGTGACACAGAGCAAAAAGGTGTTCTGTGTGATAAAAACAGTCCAAAAAATAGGAAATTTTATTTTAATTCACTAATTGAAGTTATACCTGCAGGAAACCCTAACCATTTCCATAATTTAAATTTTGTCTTATAGGAAATAATCCAAATATTTTTGCAGTATTTCAACTTCTAGTCTAACCATTACCAGGAAATAAAGTAGCATGAGGAATTAGAGGAAAGTTCATTGATTTTTTTTTTCCTGGATATAAGAGGGAAAGCAAGATTCACTCAGCTCATCTGAAAGTTCTTTTCTGCCCTGACCTTGATCAGATGTGTACCACTAATGAAAGTCAACAAGTAGAGATCATCAAATCTGTAAAAAGTGGTTATTCTTAATCCTGCTCACTATCCAGCATCGACAGGAATCACTACTAACTTTTGTTTAATACACATCAACCACTTTCAGAATTTCAAGATTTGAGTATGACATTCCAGATACACAAGTTAGGGCTCCCACATCCCTGAGAAGAAAAACTAACAGCTATCTAACTGAAATGCCTAAAGGCATTGTCCTCTATCATATAGACCAAGAGAACCCTGCCATAGAGCACAAGGTCCCAAGCTCCCAGCATTTCTGGGGAAGGAAATAGTCATGTCTTATTGCTTACTGAAAATACTGAAGACAAGACAGCTCTGTAGAGCAATATCAGGAATTTGCCCTTTTAGACCGTATTTTGAGAAACCACCTAAAAAGTGTTTATATGTCCATAATCTTCTCTACTCTGATACAAAGTGATCTTGAAAGGGCAATAAACCATAAAGACTGCACTGATTAGCAAGTGCATCAGCAATCCCATCTGCATGGTCTTGTGCTGCCCTACCTCAGTAGTCACATTGACTGCAGGCAAAGGTCTTGATGTCAACAGAAAGATATGGGGGTACTACATTCAAAGCTGCCTCCCATGGGGCCTTAGCCCAGTTCCTCAGGCATTCTCTGCAAGATTCTCCCTGGATTTATGCAAAACACAGGTCAGAGAGAGGAGATCTAGTCTATCCACACTCTTGTTAGCAGTGTGCTGAAATCTCACACACATACCAAGGGTAAAAAGAGTTCAGTAAAACTCTAATAATAAAAGAATAATTTAAAGAATGTTTAAATGTAGTCGTTATAAAGTACCACTATAATGTACCTAACAGTGGGGTGGGAAAAGGCATACAGCTATATCAAAGAAACAGTTGAGGCTAAGCCTCCACTGATGATTATAACCATTTTCATTTCCATACTCTAAAAGGCACTAAATGCTGCATCTCTACAATGTTATTTCACCTCTTTTTTCTTTTTTTCAAACATGCCTTCACCTACAGTGTTAGCATAATCCAGCTTTGCTACAGTAATTGCAACCACGTGTCCATAGCAGATGAACTGTAAAAAGCTGCTTAAACATAGGCGGGGTTTTTTGCAAACATGCAGCAGAGTAACAGCCAAAGAGTATCAGCAGTCTTTGCACACTGAAGTGAAGACATGAATATGTAATATCTTGTTCACAGAACAAACTAATGAGTGCTTTGTAAACATGTAATGGTATTCAGCAAGGTACCTGATAGCAAAGCATACCTTTACATGGGCACAATAAGTAAATCCTAACTTCCCTCTAAAGAGGAAACCTCTGCTTTGTGGATGTCAGTTTGTCCGTCTTCAAAAAGAGATTTTTCATATGGTTGAATGGTCAGTATAGCTCTCAGAAAGCTTAGGGAGATGAACAGATGAATTGGAGTCCTTCTTGTATGGTGTTGGATGGTGTGAAAGCCATGGACTACCTCAGACAAATCCAATGAAACCTTTCAACATTTTCCTTCACAACATTTCATCCTCAGTTTTCAAAGGCTTTTAGCACACTGATTTTCAAATTACTTTAACAATGAACAGCATCTGGGAAGGTCAATCTTGACCATCTTCTGGTTGTTCTCAAACCACTTTCAGACAAGCCAGCTGCACTCAAGGAAATAAAGAAATAAGCCCAGAAATTTAAGTATTCACTAGAACTAGTTCACAGTCCTCAAAAGAGGAGAAGAAAATATCAAGTTTACTCACCTTGAACAGAAAAACCTTGGATTCTTACAGTTACTGCCTTTGTCTTCCCAAACAGAAGACAGACTAAATCAGTAAATCCATCAGTCAGATCCTCCTAATCATTTACTTTTCTCCCACAAAACAAGCATATGGCAAGTCCACTGCCAGAGCTAACACCCCTTTGGCTACCAAACCTCACCTATATCAAAATACCACCAGTCAGCAAGGGTGACCTGCTTCACAAACTAGGAAATGGAATTGTTTTGAACCCCGGGAAAACAAAGTTGGTATCAAAGCACTGCTAACAATATAGAAATCATTAGAAAAGTTACAGAAAGTGGCTCACATTACAAATAACATGGAAGAGGTATTGGGAGTTTCCCATTCATGTAAGGAGGTCACTAAACATTGGGCTACCACCAATTCCAAAACTGTTTGAACCATTCTGAATATTCTTCATCTTTAAATCAGTTGCTTACAAGAAGCAAAAGCTCCCCATTTAGACCACAGATTGTCAGCATAAATTTATTCTTAAACAATTAAACAATGATGCTTCACTAGCACAACATTGTTGGTAACGAGACATAGAGTTTGATCTTTGTGCAAGCCTAATATTTGAAAGGTGGTGACCCATGTTGTACAAAATAAGCATGGAAAACCATTTTTGTGGCAGTCAAAAAATAAAAAATTGTAAAACAGGGCGAGGTTTTGCTACAAAATGCCATCTTATTTACTTAAAGGAAACCACAAACAAACAGGATGCAGGCACCATTAAAATCAATTTTATATGAGCAGAGAATTCAGTTCAGGAGTTGTCTGTGACCAATGTAAGTAGTTAATTAGAGCTGAGGAAATATTTTATACCCAAAAAGCTTTTAGCTATATTTATTCTGACTGTGGAATATGTGAAAACAGATTGTTGGTTACACATTCATTTTTTAAAATGTGAAATTACAACAATTTGTAAATACTGTGTTTGTACTCTCTGGATCAAGTGATGTGAATATTTCATAGTGTTTACCAAACATTTCTATAGGGTGAAGAGAGTCATAATACATAGAAGTAGAGCTGGCCAGAAACAGCAGGAGAAGAAAAATATTTCCTAAGAAAACAATAAATAAGAAAACAAGACTTCTGCCAAAAAATCTGAAAACACATCCAAAAGATGCATCACTATTTTCTAAAGTAATAAGGATGCATTTCCCATAACTCCAATGGGTGCTATATAGGAATTCTCATGCACCCATTGTCTGTGTTAAATACAATTTTGATCTATTTAATGCCCCAGTTACTCAAGATAAGGTTTTGCATGCTACTGACCATGAATTTCAAGGACTGGAGATGTGATTGCAAGTTAATAATCAAGTACTTTCTCTGCGCTCATGACTCAGGTACACAAAGCCAACAGCTACTTTCTTTTGGCTTACCATTCTAAACCTTTATTTAAAAGGGTTTTTTTCCCATAAATTATAATTACGTAGATTAGATTTATTTTTCTAATCTGAATTAAAAAAAAAAAAAAAAGACAGGACTGTATATTATCTACAAATATTATAAGGAAGATACCCTGCTTTGGGCAAAAGCCAAAATATGTCAGTGTTTGTTGGGGTTTTTCATGGGTTTTTTTTAACTAAAAATTAGATAAAATAAAATTAAAGGGATTGAAGAAAAGCTTCTTTTAGTAAGGTCAAACATGGATACATCTGTCAAATACCATACAGTTGCTGAAAATTAGCCAAGGATATTAAGTCCCTGCCAAGGACTCAAACATTCCTCAACAAAAGAGAAAGAAGTATTTCTCTAGAGAAGACTGAGTAAAACAGAGAAAGAAGACTGTGGGGGAAAATCTACAAATGGCAAAAAGCCTTTTTTCTCAGAAATGAGGTGGCGAGGAACCTTGCTATACTCCCTCTTGACCTAAAGGAGAAACAGAGGCCTCTTTGTTTGACTTTTTGCTAACTCTACCCTTGTATTTCCCCTTCCCTCTGCACCTTGTCTTTAACAACCAGCTTCCTACTCATGCCCAAATCTGTCACATCCCTAAGCTGGAACTAAAGCCAGTGGCACAATTTAGGTCTCAGGCCTCTTTCTGATTTCATGGACTAACTTTTGTCTTAGTGCCTTGGCTACAGCCTGGCTGCTCAGCTGCTTCTTGACAGCCAGGAGGCAGAGTCAAAAAGCCCAGGTCACTTCCCAAGGATGAACTGAAATAAAGAATATTATTCTGAAATAAAAATTTAACCAGCATTTCTGATTCCTTGATATGTTCAGTGTTTGCTTCTTTCAGCTCAACTTGGAATAAAAACAAACTTTCAAAGAAAAAGTTATTCTTGCATATGAGAACCCTCTTTTAATTTTTGGCCAGCTCTCTTTTGGATATCTTTTTCCCCTGTTGCGTTCAGCAATGAATTACCCACTCCAAGACCTACCACACCCATCACAAAAGCTTTGAAGTCCAATGCCTGTTATGTGCTGCTCAATGAGTGGGTGGGTTTGTTTACTGCTGACTGTGCAAGCACTGGCGTAAGACCTGATTCTGTACTTGTCCATTAAAGGCAAATTCAAAGGGATGCCAGTCCAGACACAGCCAATTCTTACTGAAGTTCAAGTGAATGTTTGTGAAGTTTTTCCCTGTATTTGCTCAGCTCTATTTAATGAAACATGCCTACCACACAGGGGATGTCTTGCAGTATGCTTGCTGAACTCACAGTTACAGGAACAACTCTGAGCTGAATGAGGTCAGAACAAGTCATGTTTGTTGCTAATCATCCCGAACAGGGAAATTTACTGAAGGACTTGATGGAGGGGAAAGAGGATACAGGTTCATAACCACCATGGATGTATGCTGGGTTTCAGGGATAGAGGCAGGGTTGAACAAGCATGCCTTGGTGAAGGAGGGAGGACCAAGCAGAGAAGCCAGGCTGGCCCTGCACAGCCAGACAGGCCCTGCACAGCCAGGCAGCTTCAGAAACAGACATCAGCATGCAGTTACCTGAGGTTTCTTCACCTTAATGATCCAGGTGGGGGGCACAATGACAGCAGCATGAGCCCCCAGGGAACATGGCTCCTCAATGTGATGTAGCATGAAACAGGTGACTTTGTTATGAAACTGGAAGAGAGGGAAAGAGTAGAGTCAAGAAAGACAAAGGGGAAGCCTGGAGAAGAAGAGGGTGATGGTACAAAAAGTGGGGCAATATTCCCAATGCCATCATCTTCAAGTCCTTCAATATAAGGAGATTTAGGACATGTAACTAAAGATTATCTTCCTAAGCCATGCCCTCTTAGAAAAAAATAAATAAAAATAAAAAGACATAAGCAAAAATAAACCAAGACAAATAAAAGCACAAAACCAACAAAACCCCACCATCGCTCCTATTTAAAAGTATTCTCCTGAAATATTTTCCACTTACCGCCAGCTTGCACCAGGAACAACTGATGGCCACAATCTCTTTACTATGGAAGGAGAATTTCTGCTGAAAACCCTAGAATAACCAGGGGGAAAAAAAGCATTCAATTCCTCTTGACTATAAGAAAATATATATCTCTAGCCAAGTGAGTGTGCTAGGCAAGCAGATTTTTGGTTGATAAACCAATTGCAGGAGATAACAGAGAAGTTTTTTGCATTGGGGTATAGTCACAAAATTTTTAAAAGTATTTTGGCAAGATTTTTCACTTTTTCTTAAATTTTTTGTAGTTATAAACAATGGAATAAATAGAGAAGAAATGTCTATTTTATTTTTTAATGGATTTCTACAGACTTTCAGATTTTCCATTGAACAAAGTGTTCTGTCATTGCAACCCTGTTTGTTCTAAATATAAACAAGAATTTGAATTTTCCTTTTTTACTACAGAGTAGGATTACCTTTTTTTTTTTAATGACAGAACAAAATTAAATACAATGTCTCTCTGGGAATGCTCTGACAGGAAAATGAAATAATTAAGTTTATAGTTTTATTGAACTGACTCAGATTAAAGTCTTTCTAGTAAGTTCCAAAAAAAAATCACTATGTCTTGATTCAGATCTCACAACTAAAATAAATTATTCCTTTGCATTTTTAAAGCAAAAAAAAAGCCCATCCCATCCAGAAAATGGGATTATTCTCCTAGAGAGGAGTTTCTTTCTATAGAATACAATATGATTTTGCTGTAAATTCTAAGTCTGGAAAAGACAATTGTCTTATATATATCCTTCTGCATGCAATACAAGCAACAAAAAATAAGATAGTCTGTAATTCTGAGCTGAGTTAAAGGTTATTTTAGTCAGAAAAAAAAAATTGATTGGGTCAATGGCTGGAAAGATGGAAAGTCCACAATTTCAGTGAACAGTTTGTCAGTTGTCTTTACTGCTTAGATTTCAGATTTGCAGTTGGTTGGATCCTTTATTCATGGCCTTCCATAAATCCTCTCTCTACCTCTGTAAGTAGCCCATCACTACCTAGAATTTTCTAATTCAATCTCTCTATCAAGTAATGAATCTGTGAGCCAGGTTTCTTTTTAACAAGCTGAGTAATACCTAAATCTTCTACATGCTGGAAAATGCCCAAGACCCAGAGCAAAAAAAAAAAGTTAGAAACTTACTTAGTAATGTCTAAAAGATCATTGCCTCACTGATTCTGTTACTGAAGTCCTTCTTTCCCCACAGGACAAATAAGCTCATTAGTGCTCAGTGAAATGAAAAGGTCAAGCACACCAAGAATGAGAATTAAATAAACAACCAAAAAAACCATGCAGAGATGCCTTGGTCTTTTGAAGTGAGGGGCTGAGCTACAATCTGTCTATACAGGGTGGCAGGGAACAATTCTATTGATCCTCAGAACAGGAGGAGGCTCTACCTGCCTGCCCAGAATGCAGAAGTACATCTTGTAGCTTCATCTACAGGTATCCCCAGACTGTACTCAAACCAGTTTGCCACATGGACCTCATCACCAAGACCAACTCCTGAAAAGGTTTGTGTCACCTCTGGCTAGATTTTTGGGGTTTTGTTTCAGTCCTTCCCCTAATGCCTGAGGGTTTACATTCTGAGAAATTCAAATCATAGATTTTTCATAATGATGGTGAATTGGCATATTCAGGTTTAGCAATGGAGTGTAGTGAAGTGGCTTAACAAAGATAAGCTGGCCAGATACTTCTGGCTGGGCACATCTTGTCTGCCATTCAGTGTGGGCACAAGAACAGAGTGACTAGCTTGAGTGCTGGAACAGAGGTCTGACACTGGATAAAACACTCTTTCCTCATTTACTTACTCTAGTGCTTCACAATGTTTCTAACAAATCTCACTAATCTTTGTTCCAAAGTACATTAAAATAAAAACTAATTCTTTCAGTCCCTCATAGGCATAAAGTGTTTTGGTTTTTTTCTGCTTCGTAACATCAATGGGAAAACCCTTCTCTCACAAAATCTCCAATAATAAAAGCCTAAATTCAGTACATTAGTTCCACAGCCCCTCAGTTGTGCATTTTAAACATATGGACTGAGCAGCTTGTCTGGTTCTGGATAGATCATTTTTCATGTATTTAGTAAGTCATTTGGCTTTTAGGGAATCATTACAGAAAATTATACGGCAATAGAAACATATTAATGATAAGTAGCAATAAAATACCACTTTCCTTCCTCAAATGGCTTTACAAATATGAGCTAATTCTTCCTAAGGATTCAAGCTGCAGGTAAGATAATATTTATTTGAAAGCTAGCTTCACAAATAAATTGATAAAATTGATAAAATAAACTGTGCACTGTAAATCACAGTGAGATTTGTCAGGGACTATAGGACTGAAACATAGGAACCCTCCATAGAAATAATCTTTCTGCCTTTTCTGAGTGAGAAGAAACACTGAATTTCGGATGTCTTCAATCATGCAAGAAGGTCTTCTGCACCAAATTAGAAATTTTGAGATAGAAAATGACTTTCACCTTTTTAAAACATCAGCCTAACAGTATATGATTAGCACTGATTCTCCAGTAACCCTCTACAACACATGAAACCTTATGTTGTGAGCTACTCCTGTAGAAATAAACAGTTGTGCACATTAGAAAAAATGTACTTGTAGGAAAAGAGCACCTGATTGTCACAAAACCAGTTTATGTTGGTAATCCAACCTGTTTGAATAGTCTGGATTAAAGTACAAATTAACATAGACACCTGTGCACTACAGTCAGCACATAAGGATTACTAGTTCTGATACGTTTTATTTATATTCACCAAAGTATTTACTATTAAAGGCTATTTTCACAGCAGTGTTAGAGCTACTAATAATATTTTGGAAGCACTTTCCTACAAAAGATTTTCTCTTTTTAGTGTTCTAAGAGATACCCTAATGCAGCATAACTGTAGGAGAGCCAGGTATTATTACAACTCAAATACAGACTGCAACAGAAGCACTTGGATGGTGATCACTGCTAAAATAACAGAGAACTAGAATGGCCTTTCAAGCACTAGAAATTTCATTCTTAACTTTACATGCAGCCCTGCATCAATCCACAGGCCTTTAAAGGGACCAGTGACAGAGACACTGTAGACACACACTGCATCTGTGTGGAAGACACCCCACTCTGGACACCACAGAAGGTTAAAGAAATAATGTTTGTTTAGCATTATGGTCCAAAATATGTTCTCAGTCTCAGAAAAGCCCTCAGCTACTGCTAACTGGAAGCATATGAGAAAAAAACCCCTTTTCATTCATCCTTAAGCTTCTATTAGTGCACGTAGTTATGAAATGGATGCTGGACCACATGGTCTGAGCATTTTTATGTCATATTATAGAAAGAAAAATATTATCCATATTTCTCTGATGATCTCAGGTGACAAATAGCTAACAGCTATGAAAATGGGGGTTTTTTTCCATGTCTTCAAGAGAAAGAAAAGGATTCTTAAGCATCATGAACGGAGTGGATGCCATGGCTTGGGAACACTTAATCACATTTCCTTCAAACACGACAGCTATGAAGCATTAGGAAAAAAACCTAATGTGTGACAAGTTTGAAACAAGCAAATATAGTTCTGCATGTTGTTAAGTTCAGGAATTTCTTGCTAAAGGATGTTGTGAATACTACACCTTTACATGAACTCAAGGCTCAACAAGGCAAGACCACAGGAAAGAGATTATCGTAGACTGTTAGCTATAAAGGCATGATATCTGGAAATTCATGAGACAAAAACAGAAATAGTGTTCTTGGTTACACTGCACATTCCAGGCCCCCTTCCCTGATACCAATTTCTCTATATTGTACTTCATCAATAAATCAGTAAAATGACCCTTGGGAAGAAGAGTAAAAGCCTAAAGCCTAGATGAGTTTATATAAGCTGCATTTGCACTAGCAAGTAATGTGTAACACAGTAGCATAGGCTCTGTTAGTACTCAGATTACACACAAGCATTTTCAGAGAATTTTACTTTGAGTTATCTGCAGTCTGGTCCTGTGGACTGAATTCCCACCAGTAACTATACAGTGAACTTTCAATTAAGTTTAATCTGAAAGGAATTCAGTTCATTTGTTACAAGACTGTCCCTCGTGTGAACCATTGCAAGTGGTGATAACAAGGAAAATTTCCTTCAAACTGCACTTTTGATCTAAGGTTGAACACTGACAGACCCCTGTGAACTCCATTTTTCAGGAAGTGTCTGCCATGGCACATAATGGTCCCCAGAATATAAAGCCACAAGACTATGCTAAGGACATGGAGTGCATTAATCCCTATCCACTTACTCATGATTTGAAGCATGAGATAAAAACTTTTTTTTTTATTTGAACTGTAATTAATGATCATTAAAATACTTAACCATCCCATTCCAGGCATGGGACTATAACACAACAATGAGATCTACCAGAATCCTTAAGTATTCCATGAATACTACTTTTTTTATTGCTTTAAAGATACTGTCATTCTGTTTCAATGATAATTTCCCTTTTCTTGCAAGACAAGAGAATAATAAAGGTGGCTCTTACTTGGAGGTTTTTGAAATGTTATAGTAGAGCACATTGATTTTGCTGTAATAAGAGACTGTGCGGCCAATAAATATAACTTTTTTTTTTTGTTATAATTTTCTCTAATTCTTTGTTTCCTGGCAAAGAACAACTCTACTGTTCTTACCTGAATATTTCTTATATAAGGGGAAAACTGAGATTTTTTTTCTGAAGTTTTCTATATTCTCTGTTTGATGGTTGGATTTGAAGACCTGTATCAACTAAGGCTGCCCATAGGGACACACCAAGCAAAAGTTTTGATATGATACCTAGTATGTACTCTCACTGCAAAATCAACTCCAAATGCCTGTAGGGGAGATCCAGGCCAAGAAGGCAGAGAAGGATAGCAAAGTCATACCCTAATGTTGTGTGCAAACTGCCTTGCTGCATCATTCCCATTCTACTTTGTATAGAAGGGCATCACATTTTTATTGCATGTCCTATTGCAGCTGGCAGCTGACAATCTGCATGAGTATCCAAATACAAATCTCATTTTCCATTGACTGAAGCACTGTGTTTTCCATGGAGACGAGACCTGGACTTTCTTACTAGTTGTAAAGAGCGAGGCAAAAATATAATGTAGTGCTAAGGAAAGGAAATTAAATCCCCATTAATTTAATTTTTAAATATCTCCCAATATACTCCAGGGGTTCATAATATTCCAGAAGACCTTCAGTAGCTAAAGTACTTCTTCCCCCTTTTGATAGTTTTTTAGAAATAAACTTTTACAATCTATGAAGCAGAGGAAACACAAAGCAGTCTCACAGATCTTAGAGGTTGCTGGGGCAGAAAGACAGCAACAGCTTTTCTGTTCCAGGAGCCTAAAAAAAATAGGCCATCACAATTCTGGCACAGAGGACAGCACTGCAAAAACATCACATTAGTATAGGGTTAGCTTAGCAATTAAGGCTCAAGGAGTCACAGCTTTCCTCCTCCTCACTCTGAGCAGCCAGTACACAACAATCTCCCAGGACAAATGATGTGCTCATTCCTGCAGATGCAGCTGCCTTTCTCTTCCCACATGGGAATCAGAACTGTAAAGCTCAACATCTCAGGCTTGTCATTAGCTATTAAAAGAGGCCAAGTGATAGAAAAAAAATGCAGTGACTAGAAGGACCTACTGGTTACCCTGAACTCCTAAGTGCCCTGTGTCGTGCTTGTGCTGTGCAGGAAATCTCACCTTTCCACACTGCTTACATTTGCCCTCCTGCCTCCGCCGGTGCACCCAGTGATGCCGCACAAAGTTCTGCAAACAAGGACAAAAAGGATGTGTTATAGGAAGCACAGGCACCTTGCACTCAGTGGTACCATTATGTGGAATTTCTTAACAGACACCAAGGAAAAAGTCCCTTCAGCCAACTGAGGAATTCCTGGAGCAAAATGTGCAGCAGGCACTGCAGGAAACCTCAAAAACCAACAAAACTGTAGGAGGAATAAGGACAAGGTGGTGTTTTCTTTAGCCTCATTGAAATAAGGCTAGAATTACTTCCTCAGTATTCAGGCTTTTAAATCTTTGATTTTACCTTTGAGATACTTCCAAAGGTGGAAAAAAAATATTAAGAGCGAGGAAGTGAAAGGAGAAGAAAATCATTTTTATAAAAATTAAAATACCAGCTCAAAGGCCAGGAAGAAAATAAATGCTACCAAAAAAAAAAAAGAAAAAAAAAAAAAGGAAAAAAAAGGAAAAAAAAAGATAGAATCACTGAACGAATAGGCAAAAGATGACAGAAAGGTGAAATGTTTTCTGTCAGTGTAAGTAATAGAGTGCTTCAGCTAGAATTCATTTTACATTTATTCTGGAGAGAGGAACATGTTCCACTGGGAACTGATTCTCTAAGACTTCTCTCAATCTCAAAGCACTTCTGCAGCTGCACACCAGGGGGACCAGCACACATGTCAAATGAAAAGAAAAAAGGAAATTGTCATTTGTGCATTACTCACTTCTCTGGGAGATCTGGAGCCTCCTTCTCGGAAAGTTGGTTTGCAGCGAAAATTAATCTGGCATTGAAATAAAACTGTTAGAACTTAAAGTGAGTTGAAAGAAAATTTATTCCAATATCTTGATCTAGGTTAGACTTCCAAAGTATTTATTATCTATTAAAATATTAGCTTCACTAGATGAAAAAGTTACATACCTGGATGTCAGAAAAATCTCTTTTCATACGCCACAATAATTCTCCTTGCTTAGACCTCGACACAGACCCACCTTCACTAATGCTATTGCTGCCTACTGAGTTCAAATATTTCAACTGCCTCCTCCTTCCAGAAGAAAACCACTTTATCTGTTCTGTTTTTCTGAAGATCATTTGCAGACAAGTGCAGACTTCAGCTTAGGTCTCAAAAGTCAGTAGGTGCTGGAAATTTCACTCTGTAAGGCCTTTTTGCACATCTTATCTTTATGACTTTGTAAACAAAATCTGCAGAGAAGCTGTTACTTACATAAAGAACCATTCAAATTCTCATAAACTTCTATGTTTTCCTTAGACAAGGAAGTTTGCATCCACCTCCCCAACCACAAATCATTTGGGGAGCATTGTATTGCTTCATGCAGTGGTGTTGCCACTCCAAAGAGGACAACAGGAGCTCTCATGAATGGAAAACATTGTGAGGATGATGAAGAGAAAAAAAGTATTTAAGAAACAAGAAGGCAGTCCTATGAGAAAAGAATAAAAGTTTTGATAAAAGAAAACTAGAAATAAGAATAGAGGGATGTAGACACTAAAAAAGACACTGAAGAAGAGAGAGATCTGCAAAAAGTCTAAAGGATATGTGAAGTAAGGATAGGATGTACTAAATTAAACAAATTCAGGTTTGAGAGTTGACTATCCTTCAAAGAATTAAATATTTGAAAGTAAACCACAGCATGCTTTTGTCACAAAGGTAGAATGACCAAGTTTCTTCAAATTTGAATACAACCCTCCCCAAATAAATAAGATTTTCCCTCATTTAATAGTTGCTTTCAAAATAATAGCTCTAGGGAGAAAAATAAAAATAATAATTTTTTTTTAAATGCACACACACAAAAAAAAAGTAAACAAAATACCTAGTACTTATAAAGAAATGCAAGGCATTGTAATATTTGTCTTCTTCCATTACTCTTCACCTGGAATTGCAATTTGTTTTTTTCACTGCTCAGTCACGGCAGGCTGGAAAGACCCAGCTTATATTTCTTTTCCTTAAAATTATCACCTTTGAAGAGAGGGTCAAGCAGAAGACTGATGTACTAGTTTTAAACTTTATGGACTTTTTAGAGCCCTCTGCCGAGAGGTGGATTTCATGGTCCCCAAAACAGCACAGAGAAGGGTTTTATCCAAGTGCTCATTTTCTCTGGCTGGCAATGCCACCAACTCACTGGGCCATGGAAGGTCAGCACTGCTGGTGATGAAGGAAGTCATGAAAAATTCACTGGTAACATTTTGTGCTGAAAGCATGTGCTAATGCTAATTTCACTGAGGATAAAAGCATCAGGGGTGGAAATGGTACCTCTCCAACTTGGTATTATGGCAATCACTGTGGGAGTTGTCAACATGAGTCCAAATACTTGGAAAGGAAAAAGCCCTTTCCTTATAGGGTTGCTGCTATAAATTTGTTATGCATCAGCTTCCTTTATGAAGATCAACATTGCTAAACACATAGGAGTGAAAATGCATCTCTAATGAAAGCAATGGGGAATTTCCCACACATATTTCTTCGCACATACCCCACCAGGAATGAAAAGGGTGGGGAGGAGATTTCTCTAGCACATTTCCAGTTAGGCATAATGAAGACAAATCTCTGAGGGGAAGACTGAAGTCAGTGATAGATATTCTGTAGGTGCTTGGGTGTGATCAAGGATCCTTGAAGGAAATGAGAAGCAGAAAAAACACTCACAGAAATAATGGCAGTATAAAGGAAAGGTTTGATGTTTTCCATTTTACAGACTAAAAACTTGAATTCTGAAGTTTTGAAGTGAAAACAGGATAGTCTAGTAAATACAGCAGGGAAAGCTCACAACAGCATCTTATGCTGCACTGCTCATAATAAATATAACTGTCATAAAATGAATTGTGCTGGCTTTAGTTGGGGAATTGTAAAAGGCCAATTTTGTACATGACAGGATACTCCATTTTCAAGCTTCAATTTTTACTTTAGAAGCAGAGGCAATTTACTTTTAAAACATTAAAATTGTGAAAGCATTCTGTAGTTTTTTTCTTTGTTAGGTTTTGGGCTTTTTTTATGGTTCATAGGGTTCCAAGAAATATACTTTAAGAAACAAAAAAATGTAATTTAAAGCCAAGTTTTGTTCACAAGTACATTGCTAAAACAGCTGTGGAAACTTAATTTGACACAGAGGGTTTTCCCTAGTGAGGCTGAAACCTTACTAAAAGAATTAGAAGCGTGTTGACTACATCAAACTCCAGAAGATGGCAATGTCTCACCTTCTCTAGCTGCTCCATGCAGGCGTTGTGGACCACGATCTTGCAGGCGGCACATTTCCTCCGCAGGGCAGACTTCTGCAACAGGAAAGGGACAGTGTGTGCGTGGAGCTCAGCTATGACCAGGGGAAAACAAAGTCAGCTGAAAAACAGGAGATGTTTCGCTCCCTATGCAACATATTTCCCCCCGCCCCCCTACCCCCGCCCTCCTCCTTGGTGCTCTCGCTTGTGTACAAAATAAAAAAATAAATAAATGAGAAAGATCTGAAGTTCTTCTGGTTAAAACATGAATTTTTGTTAAAAAAAAAAAAAAAAAAACAGCCACAGCATTCCAGCTTGTGAACTAGAAGTAAATGTCTCCCTTTTGGTAGGGGATCACGTTAACACTGCAGAGCACCCCTCTACAAGTGAGCATCCTATGAAGATGATGAGCAAAGAGGAGAAAAATTGCACATGCAAATCAGAGAACTCAGATCAGTTTGCAAGAGGTCATTTCATGCTTATCATAAAATATTTAATTTGATGGGCCTGACCATTGTCTTGCAAAAAGTACTTGGGTACTTGGGTCATTTTAGCAGAGGATGATAAAATTCTCATAGAATGCTGTTAATTGCTTACGAAATGTTACAGCAGGGACAAAATTCACAATTATACTGGTTAGTTTTATTAATTTCAGTAGGGCTTTTGGAATAATTTCCATTGAATCCCTTGGGCCAAGGTATATCAAAGGCAAGAGAATGCATCCAGAAGAGAGAATGTATTTACTTACTTTATTTCCATGAACTCAATTTAATTAACCAGATGGAATTAATTTTCATAGAAGTTTAACTTACAGACTTGTGCTTGAGGGACAGAAGATTTATAAATACACAGCAAGCTGAGATTTCTTTGCTTCAGATTTTTTACATTCAATTTATTCATGTCCATTTAAATATCTAATAAATTATTTCTTTATAATTTTCAGCATATTTTAACTAAGCTCATTAAAAAAATCAGAGAACACAACTTCAGCTCACATGTGGAGTAATTATAATAATTTTATTAATTCTCATAATTATCTAGATACACCCTAACTGCACATGTTCATATGTATATGGTGTTCTAATGTTTAACCTGAAGAAGCATGGCATTATATAGCAGGATAAGCTTTCATGACTTGGTAAGTTCATGGTTTGTATCTCTGTGTTTTACAAGTTTGGTTTTATCTCTGTGAAAGCCATACACAATATATCATCAAATTTCCATATCACTTTCAATGCGCTAAATCATGAGGAAGAACTTGCTGAGTTTTAGGAAGGCAAAAATCTACTGAGAAGGCACTGGGGTAGACCAAAAGTCCACTCAGCCAAACAAATCCAGTGTCCACCTTTTGCCAGAACTCAGTGTCTCAGCTCCAGTGTAAGTGCCCAGCAATCACACAGTGACAGTGACACTTCCTTTTAGTATTACCACACAATCAGCAGTTGCTGGGACTTTGCCTCAGTACTCTGAAGGAGGCATCAGCTTCTCAGGCTTGGCCTTAATGCTATTTACCATAATACAACCAATTTGCATGAGAAGTTTTGGGAGATAGGTATTCAATTTGTGCTACGGAAAGCACAAGCATTTTGGATCACATTGCCCTGAAAACTGAGGGTGATTAGTGAATCAAAATGCTTTTATTTTAATTAAGTGCTCAGAAGGTGTGGGGGCACTGGGGAGGGTGGTAGTAAAAGCAGAAAGAGAGCATCATGAAGAGTCACAGATGGTAACCACAAATATCCCAGAGAAAAGGAATTCCCTTTAACCTTTTCAGTCCAAGGGCTAGGATACTCCCTTGGAGCATTGTTTCAAACCAAAGGCGTGAACACAGGATCCCCACTCTCTTCCCAAACTTCCTAAATACAAAAGTAAGAGGGGTTTGGGTATTTTATTCTCTTTTGATGATGCAATTTAACTGAAAACCCTAGGCAAAAAGAGCCCCTGAAGTAGACTCGAGGTGTAACAGTCAAAGAACAGATACTCATAGATCAGTCCAATTAAATGTTTCCATAGACGGTAGAAATAGGAAATTAATAGGAAAAAGCTAATCTTGAATATTCCCAAACAGGAGAAGGTAAACACTCGAATATGAGTGCACTCATTGCTGGTGAGTGCATTCAAGAGTTTGGAAAATTCAGTTCATACCCTTGCAGTGATTAAAATTGCAGAAATTTGATCAGACCCTCCTATCAGAGGCTGCAACAAGTGATATATTTGTGTGTATTTTCATGTAAAATAGATTAGTATCTTTTCATATTCCTGAAACGTATCAGTATTCTACTCTTTTTTTTCCTTACCGTGCTAGTAAAGCTGTTCATTACATACATTCTCTCTGTGTAAATAATCTGGGTCAATCCGAACTGGTTTGGGCATTTTTTTCCTGAAGCAATAAAGTCTTTACCAGAAGCCTTTTTCCCTTTTTGATCTCCTTTTAGAATACAGGCAAACAATTCAAGCTCTCAAGTGACTGAGCACTGCATCAGTCTGAAGCCAGGCTTGTTACCTCAGAAAAAGAAATGCAAAAAAAAACTCACTGAGAATTTGACTTGGCAGCTCTCCTCCCCCAGGTAGCAGAGGTCCCCAGAAACATTTGTCTCTAGCCACAGATGCTCTCCATTCACAGCATTTTCCTGGGAAAAAGAAATAATTGTTCACCTGTTTTGTGAAATTCAGCCATGTGAGCATGTAGGGGAAAAAATCTGATATTCAACAATTTTAGAAAACTAAAATAAACTTTAAAAAAAAGCCAAACAAAAACCAGCTACCACACCACCAGGTATTGCTTTGGTTTTCTACAAGACAAAGCCATAGCATATAACAGCATTACCCTGGCTGACCATCCCAGCTTAAAAGATGCTGACAATACAATGTGTCACCAGTCTGAACACACTTCAATTAAACTTTGCTGATGTTCTTCCCACATGTTGCATAGTTTAACTGGGAATTCAGATTTCACAAGCATGAGATATACACAAAATTTTGAAGAAACAGAAGATTCAGAGAGATGAAACAAAAACACAAGTAATGAACTTTCAATGGGAGAAACCAAAAAAATTGAGAACCCAGCACAGGAGTAAAAACCAACATGCTGACTGTAGCTTTAGGATGATTGGATAAAATAGACTAGGGAAAAATGCTTTCCTTGAAATTGCTGGGTCAACACTCTGTTTGTGGATACCTCAACAAACCATTACACTACCAAGAGAGACTGGACTTGAACTTTATACATGACAGAACACCACATTCATCTGAGAATGTTCTCAAAAAAAGAATCTACCTAGCACGCTGACAATTAGGAATGATCAACATCTAACATCATAGTGTAACATCTAACTTTGCCTTGACAGCCTCATTTGACCAAATCTGTACCTTGATTCTATGCAAATTCTTGTTCTAAAGAAACTTGATTGTAGATGGACTACAGGTTTCACTTGCCTGTATTCCTGATGTGACTAAAAAACCTAGAAGTCTACAAAAGTCTACTGTACACTACTTGAACAAAGTGAATAAATAGGGATTCTGTTCAGCCAGAATTAGAGCATGACAGAAAACACTTTGACAGTCTGACATTTGCTTCCCACACTGCAGAAGTCAAAAATGATGGTGCTCACCAAACAGATGGCGTCCGACAGCAGGATGCTCTGAAATAGCCATCTTGGAGAAAATAATTTCTTTAAAATACCACTGTCACTTTCAAAGTGATAAAATGAGATCGCTTCTCTTGCTATGCTGATTTCTTAGGTAATGCAGAAAAGCAGAAGTAGCAAACTCCTTTTCCTTCTGGAGTGCATCCATAATAGCCAAGACCTAGGCAAGACTGCACATGGTGCCTACTACAACCATGGTGTTCACTTCCAGTAGAACAAGAGGACAAGACCAGCACTGGCTGTTTTTTGGTGAGAGGTCTACCTGTCTGCAGGTCTTTAACTTCATCTGAAATGTTTAAATTCCCAGAGCACAATTGTTTAGATGAGGATTTTCAACACTTTTATAAGGCAAAACAATTTCTAAGAACTTGCACTAGCTTAAGAAATTGTCCAAGCCTTTCTTAGAGAGTACATTATTCAGATTGTAAACTGTCCCTAATGTGTATCCTTATATTGCAGCTATTCTCTCTTCAGAAGCAGGATACAAGCTCACCAAAGAGTGCTTTTCCTGAGCAGATTCTCTGCTGACAAAACAGTGCAAACTCAACATTATAAGCCAGAGTTAAATCTCGTAGGATATAAAAGATTCTGAAAGCTAAGTAAGAAAACACACAGCTTCTGGGACAGAATTTTTTACAAGGAATAAAAATTATATTAAAAAAATAGACTAACCACCCCTTCATTTGGACCAGGTCCACATAACTTGCCATCAGGATTTCTAAAGATAAAATGGCCTATTTCCATAACCTGGTTTGGACCTTTTGCTCCCTATTGTTCCAGATTGTATCAGAGATTTACATGTCAAACTTTACATCACCATGTAAATAAAATTAGTTAGCAGTCTACAAGGATGACCTTCATAGTTCATGTTATTATAGAGTTCTGACACAACTAGGTAATAAAAATGTAAATAAGCTGATCTAGTATGAGTGGCACACCTCCAGACACCTGCTACCACGGAAAATTTCACAGCACTGTGTGTGAAAACTCACAATTTCAATTCTAGCAAATGGACTTTTGGAAAATCTTTTATCCTGAATCAGAGCAAAGAGCTGAGACTGCTCAAGATGAAATGCCCTCCCTCAAAAATCTTCCTTCTCAGTTAATTTGTCTCAATAAGATCAAAGGGAATTATTTGAACTTCACTGTTTTAAATTTTACAAGGCTCTGTCATTTATATGATGAGACATTTTCTTGCCCCTTATGAAAATCAAGATGATATAGTCAAAGGAAGTGCTTACCTTTTGTAAGCCAATTTTTTTATTCACTTCTGACATAAATTTTTTTTAAAAATCAATACATTTCTGTGAAGAATTTTGACTTCAACAAAACAGTATTTTCTACTCCAAAATTTACAGACAATATTCCAAAACATGCTGGACAAAAGGGCACTCATCCCCATGTACCAAGACAGAAGTTGACAGAGGTCCCTGGAATAAGCTGCTATCATCTCTAAGATGATAGCCTGTTTAACACAAAGCTAAACCACAGTAAAGGTTCTGTCATCACTTGTATATTTTGACACAGACTTTTTTTTTTTTCCATAAGAAGTTTGCCAGTTTGGTTTATTCTGTGCTTTATGTCTTTCTGTTGGTTTTAGGATTTAATGTCTTTTAAAGAAGCAGCTGTTCTCTTTTTGTCCCTGAAGACACAGATGCCAGTCTCATGCTCTTGCCATTTTCCTCGTGTTGAATCTGTTGTAGCTGTAAAGCTACACAAAAAATCAGTTTAGCTAATGGAAAAAAAAACAAAAACTAGGTATCTTATCTAGCAAATCAACTAGACAAAATGATTCACCCCGTGACCACATAACTGCTGGATCTGACACAAAGAGTGGTGGGTTAAAGATGGCTTCAGTGGGAGTGATGCTTTTGGTGCCACCTCAGCTCACCCGGCAAATCACACTTTCAGGCTGACATGTTTTCTCTGACTTGCTATGTGGAAAATGGATACTGTCCATCATTGTGGATAAAACAGCAATGACTGTGGCCTAATAAAGAAAACTGTGAACTCTCTCTCCTCTCCAGCTTCCCAGCCTTCACAAGTGTGTGAACTCAGTGTCCCAGGAAGAAAAAGAGCCCCTGCTCAGTGAAGCAGAGCCAGCAGTGCTTTCCTGGCAGCCTGGCTCACAGGGGACACACCATCTCAATATCTCTCCATCTCCTAGATGGAGACCTCTCATTTGATTGCTCCTGATCCATGATCACCTTAATAGCAAACAAAAATAATTTCAGTATAGCAAACATTCCTTGCATACCAAACAAATATCACACACAATCCCCCCTGAAGTGGAAGAGAAATAAGAATTCAAGGACCAGGCGTTTGGCAACCATGTAATTACATGCAAGTGTTTGTGACTTGCTGTTCACATTTCACTGATTGAACTAGATTTCTTCAAGTGCTCCAGCATAGTAAATGACAGAGCAAGAGCTACCATTTTTCTAACACCCACCACAATCTCCATAACCTCACTGTTCCTCAGACTGCAGTCAGCATGGCTTCAAAAGCAGTGGAGAAAAACCTGGCTGTTTTAATTTGCCATGTCAAGCAGCTGAACTTATTCAGCCGAACAAATAAAGCAGTCAGCCCAAACTTCTAGTTCAAAAGAGCTGTAACTCCTATTGTAACAGGAGGAATGGAACTCTCCTCCGCTCCTGCTGTGACTGACATTCCACAAAAAAATATTTAAGAAAGATCTCAAAAATACATCAGTAAGAAGATTTTCCTTTTGTTAACCCTCAAGCAACATAGAAGAATATTCTTGCAAATACACATTTGGGTGATATTTATGATTAGTGTAAAATCAGTGGTCATCAATCTAAACTTAATTAAATATATTTGAAAGCAAAATTATTAATTTTGGCCCTTTTCTTTATGAGATGACTATTGAGCAGAAACAAATATGTTTGGATGTCTCTTTCCCAAATATCTTTTTGCCATGTTTGGATTATGTTTCACCTTTAACTCTGAAATTTCAAATTTTGCAATGCTCATGTTGAAAACAGAAGTAGTGCCTCAAATATTTCCCTTTGGGTATATATTCTCAATTTTAATTCCATTTTAGCACATTTTAATTTGGCAATATATTTCATGTAGAGGTCAGCTATTCTTTAATTATTGCAAATGTAATATGTGGACATAGCAAAATAGAACAGCATAGGGATACGTTTCTCCTTTCCCCCACCATGCTTTCCAACATCTCTGCATCAATTGCCTTTGGAGATCCCCCTAAGCCTCAGCTGAGAGATCATCTGTATATAGAAGCAGAATAACAACATTTGTCTTCATGGAGCAGCAATGTACAGATGCTATCAACTGAGATGATGATTCCCTATGTCCTCATGAACCACTACTTCAGCTGATAACAGCTGCATTTCAGCAACATGAAAAAACATATATTTTCTAGATGGGCACCTTCTGCAAAATCACTGCATCCTCTACACCGCTGGAAAAGCACAAAGATATGGCCACCATTCTGAATATGACAGACCTCTTTTCTCTTTAGATCTCTCTGGAAAGAAGATCAGATCTCAAACCTTCATGAAAAAGAAGTAGCAAAGTAGAACTACTGATCCAGAGCACTTCAAGCGTCAACTGCACACAAAATTCAGCAATTTTTAAATACGCATGGGGCTTGCACTCATCACTACATAATTTGAACTAGAATTCCTATCACATCTTCATCTTTTTATGTGACTAATGGAACCCCAGGATTCTCGTTTTTTCATAAGAGCATATAAATATAAACATCTCTTTTCAACTGAATGTTTCATTCCCAATTACAAAACTTAGCCTTGAAGACCCTCTAAGGGAAGAGAAGTCCATCCCCCAGTGTAAAAGTTAGTATAGTTTTTAGGAAGTTATGATGCAGAAGCCAAACCATTAATGGGGAAAAGAAATAAATTTATCTAGAATGAGGCAAATGTTTCATCATATGTAAAACATGTGCTACTGTATTAACACATGCACTAATTATCTAAGCTTCAGTACATCATTAGGCACTTCCAAACACTTACTGTCCATGAAAGTAAGCAGACAGAACTACTGACTAGTACCAAAAAGGCACAGAATGTAATGCAACAGACTAATTTAAAAGTCACATTCACTAATTTTAAATACCTCACTGATATAGGTCACTTCATGTCTATTTGTCTAGCCCATACCCCAATCAGTTTATCTACAAGGATGTGATGGAAGATGGTATCAAAAGCCTTGCAAAAGTCAACACAATGTCCATTGTTCTGCCTTCATCTACCAAACCAGCCATTTAATCTGCTAGGCTGGTCAGGCAAGATCTCCCCTCCATAAACCAATGCTGAATACTCTCAGACACTTCTTATTCTTAATATTTTTGGAAATTACTTCCAGAAGGATTTGCTCCATAACCTTCACAGAAATCAGGGTAAGACTGATTAGTCTGGAGTTCCCTGGATCCTCCTTATCCTTCTTGAAGGCAAAATGGACATTTGTTTTGTTGCAATCCTCAGGAACATCCTCTGACCATCGTGACCATTCAAAGACAACAGACTGTCCTAGCAGTGATTTCAGCCAGCTCCCTCAGCACCTTTATGTGCAACCTTTCAGAACCTAGTACGTGACCTGGGACTGCTGAAGGCAGCTCTTACCACCAAAAATGGAGGTCAAAACAAAAAAACAAAACAAAAAAAAAAAAAAAATGGGACTGAGCAATTCTGATTTTCCATGTCCTTTGTCACCATGGTCTCTACCCTATCTAGTGGCAGCCCACCACTTTTCCTGCTGTTCCTATCACTGTTGATTTGCCTACAGAAACCATTCCTGTTAGCTTTCCTGTTCCTGTAAGATTCTACACTAGATGAGGTCTGGCTTTCCTTACTCCATCCATGTGGAATCAGGTAGTGCCTTGTACAATCCTCCTGACCCAAGCCTGCTTCCACATATTCCCAAACGCCATTTTTCAACTTCTACTCTGACACACAGTTTTCTGTTCTTGTTAAGACCTAAAACATTTCTGGCTTTGTCTTTTATACACATAATTTATGGTATAAATTGTAATATTTCTCCTCTAAAAAAACATGCAACTTGCACCCAAAGGACTCCAGTTCTGCATTCACTGAGCACAAAGCGTATATCAGATAAGTTTTTTCATTGACCACCAAGAACAAAAACTGAATATCTTCAAATGCCTCTTAATAAGTGGGGGAAAGATTCTGAACCTCCTTGTTATGGGAGAAGGAAAGAAATGGGCATCAACAGAAAAAATGCACTATTAAAAAATAAAAGGGATTTAGGGATGTTCAACACTCTACTATTCTAGTGGCTGTCAATGTATTTGTAGGCACCACAGAAAGCAAGAGCTAGAAGGCAGTGGTTAAAAGAAAATTACAGGAGGACTTTGTGTACAAGCTTATGGCTATAATCCTTAGTAGAAAATGGCAATAGAAAAATACACAAATACCTGGATCCTCAAAGCTACACAGGCAGTGTATTGGGTGGCTCAGTCTGTATTCATTGGAGAACCTGGGCTAGAATTACCTACTTTATTATTTAACACTTGGGAGTGATGTCTGAAATGAAGGTGTGTGGGAGAAAGGTATAGGCATAAACATATCACAGGGGCAGCCATTTAGGTAAATTCCTTTTTGATAAGGCATCCCCAGCATTCCCCTCTGGTTATTATAACACCTACTCTATACACTGTATTCTGTAAGGCCCTGGTGTGAAAAGAGAACCTTAAATTATACAGCAAAGCTACAAGTTAACTTGAATTAAGTGTAACAAATGTGATGAAACTGGACATTTGTAAGTATGTTAGGGAAAAGAAAGCTCAGGGAAGAGAGGCAGTAGCTGCAACAATAGTAAAGAATGCTGGAGGAGTTTGTGTAAAAAGTCTTAGGCTATATGAGAATCATCACCTCTGTTTTACAGCTAGAGAGGCTGATGTACTGAGAGGAAAAACAACTCCTCTGAACTCACTCACGAGGTAAGTAACAGAGCAGAGAATGGAATCCCACTCTCTCAGTGCCTTGTTCACAGGTCCATCAGATAATGGCAAATCACCTGCAAGGAATTCTCAAAAATTGAGGCAATGTCCAGGGAATTCTTTCCAGTTATTACTGTGAAGACTGTGGTAGAAAATATTTTCTTCCTCTTAAGTCAAGAGACAATTTATGCTCATGTCACTTAGACTTTGGAAAGATCTCCCATCATGTGTCCTTGGAGAATCATCCTCAGAAATACTGAAGAGAAGGATGATGTATATGAGGATGCAACACACTCTGATCAATGCTGCCTTCCAGTGATTAAATACAAAAACTTCTTATCTGGCTCCAACACATCAATTGAAATATCTTTTCACTCTACCAGATATACCTCTGGACTTAATTTAAAACTTAGGGCTTTATCTTTGTTGAAATTCACTACATATCAAAAACCTTTCATCCAGTTCAACCTCCCCACATCTCCAAACCTTACTTCTATCATACCTCAGATTTGAGAAATACGTTTCTCCCTTCTACCAGTTCCTACAGCTGGTCAGTTCAGTCTCCTCCCTACCACAGATGTCTTCTACTCATTATCATGTTCCTCTCCCCTCATGACGCAGAGTTGCCTCCTTTCTCCAATCAAAGTGTGAAGTAAAGTAGCAACACCAGTCTGAGAGGCTGCAAACAGCTAAGAAATTGAACTGATGAAAAATCTAAACCATAACCATGTTGGTTTTTTGTTTGGTTTTTGGTTTTTTTTTCAGGGATTGTTGCTGTTGTTTTTTCTAAGTACAGTTTTCAAAGGTGTTTAATTTGGCTGATGTGCTTAACCCTTCACTTATGTGACTGATCCTTCAGATTTCTATTGAACAGCAGTAATGACTCAAGACAGGCATTTTTACTACCTTGCTGAATCAGCACCTGGGTTGCTGGAATGAAAGAACAAGGTATTCTCCAAAGCACTTCCAAGAGGATTCTGTGCAAGCTTTCAAACTGCAGACCCTCACAGTGAATCTAATCCAGCTTCCTGCAACACAGCCTGCAAAATTTCATCCCCTTAAACTCTGAGTGCAAGACCTGGAGTTTGAGAAGAGCAGGCCATCTAAAAATCAATTCTGTTTTGGTACAGAGAACAAAGATAAACATAAGCCATATTCATCAAAACAGCAGTTACCTTCAACTAAAAGATGCTTGGGGGGCTGGTGCCTTGATACTGCAATGCATCAAGCTCTTTACCAATAGCCAAGGGTAAAATCTGCTGCATGCTTTGCTTTAATTGAGACATTTGTGTGACCTGCTGGCTTATGCCCATCTTTTTAGCTCTTACCAGTTCATAACCACATGAAAGGTGTGTGGGGATGGTTCAGGAGAGGTACAGACTTGCCATTAGTAAAAACAGAGAGGGTGGCCAAACCTTGGAACAGTCTTCCTAAAGAGGTGGTTGATGCCCCATGCTTGCCAGTGTTTAAAATAGATTTGGACAATGCCTTTAACAACCTGCTTTCACTTTTGGCCAGCCCTAGAGTGGTTCAGCCCAGAAACATAAAAGAGCAAGACGAGGAGTGGAAACATGGTCTCCATGTCTACACACAAGCTTGGGCTCAGAAGAAATCTAGTCATACCTACAAAGAGCTGTGACCAAAGATTTCAATTACCTACTCTACATATGCAGACAACCTGACGTGTGTCTTTAGCCTTAAATTATGGCCCATCAAACAGAGGCACAAAAACCTGCTGTGCTAAAATTAGATCAACCTTTGATGGCAGACTTTGTCAAGATGAAAGTGGGAAAATGTAACCAGCTTCCAAGCTGGAAAATCTGTCCTTTCTTGCTCAAGTCCCCACAAGTTTTCATGTCTCTGCTTTGTGCTTCAGCTCATAATAGAGGAATGTTCCTAATGACTAGCAGCAATTCTGATAGCAACACAATGTCTTATTTTGATTTAAGGATGAGGAGAGCAACAACTAGAGATACTGCTCAAATTAACTGCCAAAAAAACTGAACACCTACAGTCCACTCTAAGGCCGCTCTTGGTTCCTTCACAGGTCCATTGGTGACTGGAATGTTGAGGGAATGCACAGGAGCCAAGTGCTGGAGGCCTGACCTGGAGATCGCTTTCCTGCAAATTGAAAAGAAAAAGAAAAATAAATGGAGTGTATATATGAAGTGTATATATAAAACAAATACATCTCTCCAACATAATTACCCAACATCCTCCCCAGCCTTCTCCAGAAATCAGAGGAGGCATCAATGCATTTCATTTCAGCTTCAGTGAAATGGTGCTTGAATGCCATCTCCTGCTAAAGCAGTTTAGGAAAAGAATGAAGCAACCTGATCACTGGAAATTACTGTTTAATGGAGATCAGTTACTCAGCTGGCACTGAGCTGAAATGTCAAATCCAGTGGACTATCTGTGGTTATGTTTGCTAGTGTCAGTGGAGTCCTCATGCATTTCACCTATTCTTTACACACCAACTAGATCTGTCGAGTCAATTTATGCATAATTCCAAATACCATTTATAGGAGACAAAATATGAGTTTATACAAAGAATCAAACCCTTGTTGTTTTTACTTAGCTTATAGGCTGGAAAAAGTCATCCATTCAACATCCAACTAAGTAAAACAAGACATAGAGACACCACTAGGAAGGGAATTCATAAATTGCTACCTTCCTTGATCATATCAGAATCCCTCAAGGAATTACAGATTCTTTCCACATATATTTCTATTTCAGTTCTACCTTTCTCGTCCAAAGTAGTTTTACAGTTCTTGAGGCATAGAGATGCAACCTTCCTCAGAAGTCAGAGGTGGTGGCCAGAAACACTGCTGAAGCTGGCTCCAGAGGTCTGAGGGGCCATCCCCCCTGGGATGTCCACCCTCAGGAGGAAGCCCAGTATGCTGCCAACACAAAGCTCAGCTGCACCTGAGCAGTCTGTTTCCTACAGCTTCCCAACACTATTGCAATGCAGGTATTATATCTGACAGTAGTGGCCAAAAGAATCTCACAGCTTCAGCTGCAGTGATTCAGAAGAGGACAGAAATCATCTCAGAGAGATCTCTCCCTTTGTAAGCCAAATACATACACACACCCCCCACAAAGTAAAATGACAGGCTGTTTCTGTACAGTGAATTTTTGTGATACTGCTCCCGCAGTGCTGCAGCTATTTATAGCATCTCCTAATCTTACCACTGTCCCAAGGCAATAAAGGTCAATTGAGCCAGTGGAGACAATCCAGGTCAGCCATATGCTAAATAAATCTTTTCATTGTCCTGAAAATATACAGTGCAATATATATCTGCAGTAAAGAAGCAGAAAAAGCCTCGCTGCTCATAGTGCATGTCTGGAAAAATAGAGGGAACTGAAGCAGAATCTCTTAACCCCCCTCTTTTGTGGGCAGCATGAGCAACTCAGAACATTAATATCAGCCTCTGACCATCCAATACCCTCTTTCTACTTAATGTGGGCAAGACTTTGACATTAAGGGGGTTTTTCCCCCAATATTTTGCATTTGATAAAAAAGGGGAAGAAGTCCAAGCAAAATATTTTTACCATCTGGCAACATATCAGGAGGGAACAATTTAGCAAGAAAGATTTTATGCCAAATATATAAGCACAGCATAAGCTACACATCTCAATAACTGGATTAAAGCCTTAGAGAAATAAGTTACAAGAAACTAAAGAAATGTTTTTAAAATATATTTTTCAAGAAAATTTCCCAATATTTGGCAGTTTCTTTTAATGCTGGTTTTGGTATCAGTGTAGCTATTTGGGCTTCCTAAACACAAGAGCACATTCTTGTGTCTGTTTGTGGTTCATAACACGCTCATTTATTTGGGTGGAAACAGGGCAGCATCACTTTTTCTTCTCTGCATCACTGGCAGGGGTAAAGCAAACCTACTGAGGCCAGTCCTCACAAGAGAGGAAGGTAAATATGTGTAATGAGTGGTTGCAGACATCTCAGCAGCAAGCCTCGGATACTATTGCAAGTCAGAATTAGAGATGCGCAAGCCTCCCACAGGAGAACCTGAGACTTGGCCCACATTTCTTTAGGAGCAAGCCGAGGCTGATGAGCCTTTTTAGGGGAGACCTGGCACAGTTTTGTGCCAACAGCCTGCCCTTCCTCTGCATGCCAAGCTGGATTTATGGTTTGTCTGGAAAAGTACACATACATAAAACACAGGCATGACAATAATGCTTTTTTTTTTTTTTTCCTGGTCCGTTTTAACATTTTTAACTTAAAATTATCTCAGGGATTGCAAGTTTGCATGAGCCAGCCAGAAGTGACCCTTAGGTCCACGAAAAAGCTAAAAAATGTCTACTTTTGCACAGTTTCTTATCAGAATTTTCTCTCAGAGCAAAGAGAGGCAAAGTGTAAAAACACACCGTATGCACTGTAGAAGCCTTTCCTATTAAAAAAGGAGGCCAAGCTAAAGAGCAACACATGGCCTTTGAATAAATGTAGACAGACAAGAGATGGGAAAAAGGGGGAAAGGTAAGGTAGCACAAATCTGATAACAGAGCAGATGCTGAGTATCCAGGTGATCATATCTCATATTACTCTGACAAATTACACCACCTGGCACTCTTCCAATGGCAAGGTAACACGATTGGTTTTTAGTTATCTTTCCCAGAAATTTCATCTGCACTGTGCTGAGTGCATGAATGAAAACACAGGCTTGACAGTCAGCCTTTCCCATAGAAATAATCACTGTTCCCTGATAAGAGACAGACAGAAAAATCTGTGGCCTCATCATATATTCCATTCTTCAGATGATGAAGAGCACAACTTTGCTAAAATGGGCACAATCAGCCCAGTTGTTGATGTAGTAACCAACAGCTAGGAAATATTTCATCAGAAATAATGAGTTATATTTTGATAACTCCTTTTTCACATCCAGTAATCAGTTATTTGTAGTAGATGTTATTATTGACTTAGCTAACACACCACCATTGAGAACAGGTACGGATACACATAAATGCCTATGTCACTGAATACACAACCAACAAAAATACCTGATACTAATTCCATAGATGATACCACTAAAGAAATTCTTTAATGGAGCAGTCAGCTGTCTTGAAAACCAAAAACAATCAGACAGTCAAGACATTCAAGTACTCTGACTTTTTTACTTTTTAAAAGCATTACATTTGCATTTTGCTGGAAAGTCAGGCGAGACTCAACCTAGTTACTAGATCAAAGGATACATATTTGATCAGGGGAGATTTGAGTTTATATCCCAGCCTTTGGCTTTATTGAGCCTTTTCCTCCACTGCAGGCATATAAATATCCTCCAATGAGTTCTTTAGACTGAACAATTTTACCTGAACCTTCAAAGAGCACAACAATTAGTCAATAGCTTGCAACTTATTTAAGTGCTAAGAAAAAAATCTATTTGGAATAGAAAGAGTAAGTTACTGTTGCATGCGGTCAACAGCTTTGACTGCCAATTTAGTTGTCACTGGTGTTGGAGTTGCTGCCTTTCCAAGGCTGGGATTATCATCCTCCTTTGTATATGAGCATTACTATTGGGGTAGTTTCTCAGTTGCAAGGTTGAAAGAACATAAAAATGCAGAGAGACTGGCTTCCACAGATCCTATGGTTAGGACATCTGCCAGGAAAGATGTTTTTAGGAGTCTTTTCTCAAAGTTAACCTAGATATTTACAGAGAAAGGGACAATAATTTGTATAATGATGCTTAAGTTACAATAGCCCTGAATTTCCTTGCATATTCAGTGTGGGTAAACTGTACACCTGCCAGCCCTCAGCTTTGCCAACTAGAGCTCTAAAAGCCCTGTACAAGGCCAGACAGCACCTGTATGCTGTATGAACAAATTATATATGCCTGAGTTTATTTGGAGGCAGTTTTCACTCCTGCAATTTGGTGCTTATGAATGTTATGAAGAAAATGGCTAATCTCTGGCATTATTTAAGTTTTCCCCAAGCATCTCTGCTGCCTACACCAGGACCCTGAAACCCATTGTTTCCAGCTTGCCTTCTGGACATGTATTTTTCTCATTTTCAGCTGACCACTGGGCAGTGATTATTTCACTGCAACATCGATTCCCAGATTTTTTGCATTTGCTATGAAAGGAGCCAGCTTTAGCCAAATTAAATAATCTGTCTGGTGCACCAACCCATTCCTGACAGAAGCCAGTAGCAGGTGTTTAGAGAAGCACTGGCACAAATTGGGTGATCCTTCCCCTGATATACTCCAGTCACTGTTTCCAGTAATCAGTATTTTAAGGACTTCCTGAGCTGAAGGTTGCTTCCAGACCTTTGCACTTAATAGTCTGTAATGGCTTTTTACTCTAGGAATGTGTTGGTCCTTCCCTGAATCCATTTATAGTCTTGGTCTGCACAGCAGGCTATGTAATAAGCTCCACAATTTAATTATGGGCAATGTAAAGTACTTCCTTTTGTCTGTTTTTAAAATCCTGCCTGATAATTCAATTGCTGTATCATATTGTAAGTAGCAGCGAGTAATCACTTTCTTCTCTACACCTTCTGTGATTTTATGAATCTATTGATATACCCCTTAAAACACCACAACCCCAAGTGGAAGCACCCTAGACTACTTAGACTTCTGCTAATCCTGAATATGTTCTACCTTTATCAATGTTCTGTAGCTCAATTATGGGGTTCTTTTGAGGTATAATTGCCAGAACTAGAAAAAATATTCAACAACTGGCTGCACCAGTTGTATGTCATCATACTTTCTGCAATGTTCTCTTTAATTATCCAAAGATCTCTTTCCTGAGAATTAATTGATAATATGAAGTCCAAACTTCATAGCTTTTTAATCCTGCATGTGCATTATTTTCCCTTCACCAATCTCACATTTTGACTGCAATCTGCCTCAGAGTCATTCAGCATCATGAGATCCTTCTGAAAATTTCTGCAGACCATGCCCACTCTAATTGTGCAAAACAAGCTTTACTCCCTTTCGTTTTGGTTCCAGTGCAACTGCTCCCATTACAGTCCCCAGTGGTGCTCACCAGTAAACACCTCGGTAACCCCTGAGCACCACCCTATTGCTTGATACTCCTAAACAGTTTTTTAGCCATAAGGACACCATGCCTTCCACCTCTGGTTTCTGTGCCAGAAGCTGTTTCTCTTA